TTATCAAAACATTTTTTATGCGTACCTTAATTAATTAAGATACCATAATTTTAAAAATATAAAATATCATAGCTCAAAAAATCTCAACATTTTTAAAAATCTTATCTCCATTTTACAGACCCGAATGAAACTTTTACGTTTTCGAACAACTTTTCTCGATTGCATATTAATGAAAACATATGAATGTACCTATAATTAATCTGTCGAAAAAGTGATATTAACAACATTATGTATCTATGCCAACACTTATACTTTATAAGCATAAATCAGAAGGGTTAAGTATTATTAACATTGATGGAGTAAAAGCATAGCATTTTTCATTCTTATTAAAAGCAGTGATATTATCAGATAAGTGCTATCGACTAAGTAGGTGCCTCTAAACCTGCTACTTTTAATGGATTTGATATCGATTTTTTTTTTTTTGTATATTATGACTGTTTTTAAAAAAAATAAAAATATGGATAAGTCGGGGAATAAAAGAAAAATCCAACTTCGTTTAATACATTTACGTCATTAAATTAAATTAGGAAATAATTTGTTTATGTTAAATATAATTGATTTTCTTTTCTCTTTTTTTCTTTTGTTTCTATTTATTCGCTCTGTCCAGCATTTTGCAATTTTCATCGATATGTGAAGGGATCTTAACTCTGTTTCAATATTTACAAGCCTTGCTGGGCATGTACATGTAACTGTAAAAACACAGGGGGGAGTGGAGACTTTTTACACGCCCTGGATATGCCGGGCAATATAATTTTTGAATCCTGTTAAATATATCTTAATTATTCGCCACGGATAAAGAAAAATAAAATGTTAAATGGAGTTTTAATAATTATTTTTCTTTAAAGTTTTTGAAAAAAAATTAAAATTAACGTAAATGTGTAAAGGTTGGACACTTTAAAATGAATTAAAAATCTTAAAATCAAGTTTTTTAAATGAGCTAAAGAGGTTAAAATAATAAATAAATAAATAAACTAAAACGAAAAATATAGAGCTCATCACTTACGAAAGACACGGAAGAAATTTTCGGTGGTACATTTTTCATAGTAGGTTTGAGAAAAATGAATTATATTTTTCCTTTTTAGACTTCTTTAAAAACGTAGTTCTTAAAAATTTCTAATTCACTTTAATATCTTCTCTTTAGATTAGCACATGTTATTTGTTTTTGTTGGGAAGTGTCAAAAATTTTGATTATCAATAAAATGGAAATAAATTTACTCGCAGAATTAAAGAAACAATGGTAACTTTCGTCGTTTACAAAAATAGAGCTCCAGTTGAAGTTTGAGCACTATAGCTAGTCGGATTATATTTGTAATTTCGATTAACTATAAAATTTTTTTAAAATTTACATTTTTGTTTTACATTAGGATGTTTTTTTTTTAAATTTACAACGATTGTTTTACACACAGGAAAAAGACCAATAAAATAAAATAAAATAAATAAATGATAAATTAAGCAGTTTTAAAAAACTCTTTTAAATTTCTATTTTCAGAGCTGTTTTTAGTGGAACTCTGACTTTAGATGCGTATAAGAAAAGGTTTATTAATAGCTGCTAATAAATTAACAAAACAAAGAAAAGGTAGAAAAGAAAAGACTGTTAATTATTTGGAATATATTTAATTTGAAGAAGGAAATTTATGAATTAGGTATGTGCACAAAGTACATGCTGAAAATGAATTAAATAGGTTAAAATATGGATTTCTAAGAAAAAGTGTTCTAAACTTTGGAGAAACTAGTTAGAGAAAAATAATTAATTTTTCTTAAATTTGATTATTTTACTTTAAATTGAAAATCTCAGCGAGAAATACTTATGGAATTTATTTAATACATATTCTTTTCATAATTTATTAAATCTATGTATTATTATTGATAAAAAATATTTTTTATTAAATTTTTCTACTTTTTTTTCCATTAACATTTCACCTAAATAATTTCATATAAACAATCGAACTACTAATTTTACCGATTAATTAACCCATGCTTTAAAGGTAATTTAATTATAAATATAAGACGCTTTCAAATTTTTTATTAAATTATTCTATGGTGATATGAGGGAATTTAAGATTTATATAGAGCATAACACATAACGAGACTGGTTTTCTCATTGCAATGTTGATTGTATAAGTGCGATTTTTGAGCTCTCAAAAATTATGAGAATGATTTTTAAAAGAATTTATTTACTTATTTATTGAATGTAACTTTGGTATAAAACTATTTAAACTGTAAATCTAAAAATTGTATTTGGCACTATTATAGTATTTAGAAACATTCTTTTAATAAAATAAAATCTCATATCCCAGGAGTTGTGTTATGTCATTCAGAATTTTTATTGGGAAGATTTATCTGACAATAATTATATTTTAGAGCATTCTAAAATTTGGAGCAGTGTGCACTGTTTCATATTTCAGAATGCTCTGTTGATTATCGTATTATCGTTGATTAGGATGAACATTAGCTACTTAGGGCTTTAACCTACGACAGCACCGTTACATCACTTCTTTTTCATGATTAAGAACATAAGCTTAATAAGTTAACTTTAATTATAACTTAGCAAAAAGTACAACTAAGATAATTTTGATTCGCTGTTTATTTTAAGAGTATACTTTTAATTTTCTTAAAAATGAAAAACCAGATAAATATAAAACTAAAAAAATATATATATTTAGCTAATATCAGATATTATTATTATTTTAATTTTGGAGAGGTAATGGTACATATTCCCTCTCGCAAGCTAACGATTTGGAAGATCAAATTTAATGTGAGTTATCCGTAATTACTTATGGAGCAGACTTGGATTAGATTTTTTTTTTTTTTAACGGAGTAAGTTTACCATATCGTACTCCAGTCCATCACAATTACTGTTCAGTTTCTTAACCACTGAATCATCGAACAATAATGAGTATGAGCGATTTTGCTTTATTGACATTTTCTTTTAGAAATGAGCGCCATTGGTGACGCGTAGGTGGAGAAAGACGACCATAGATCGTAGGCACAAAATTAGATTCTTATACGAATTCAAAAGTTAAAAAACAGACTATAAAAAATAGCTTTGTCTATGAAAAGTTGCTAATAAAACAAGAGTCAAAATGACACGACTCGTAAAGACGTCAGAGGTTCTGTAGGGGACAATGTCACAAGTGACACATTGTGCTGCAGCAAAGCGATGTTAGGAGGAGGAATGTATCGCAGAGAAAGCAACCCCTGGGTCAAGATGAGAAGGAAGTGGAATCGATGAATTAGCAGATCTTTGGGCTCTCTCCTTTTTTTTTATACGAAAAACAGAAAGACCATAAAAGTCTCTAAAATTAAAATATTTATAAAGTAGAGTGTTATATTCATGTTAGATACAGTAGCGTAGCCAGATATTTGTTATAGCTTTCCATCCATAAAATACTTAAAAAAATTAATAAAAATAAAATAACAAAACAAGAAATACTGTGAGCAAAAATTTATTCTGAACTAAAAAGAAATAAAAAATTCTTGGTTTTCCTTTGGTATACAGTTTACATTTTCAAAAAAATTCTTTTTTTTTTTATTTAATTTGTTAAAAGTATTCATGCCTTAAAAAAATAATACTAACAATAAACAACATTTCTTACTGACTTTTAATATCATTCTACAAAAATATCAAAGTTTGCAATCGTTGTATGTAAATTTGTTTCGATTACTTAACAAATTACTTTGGCGACAGATATAAACTATGCTCAGTTGAAAGTAGAATTTATGTCATTAGAATTGAATGCGGCTATACTGCGCCAAATTGGAGATAAAAATCTCTCACTAATGTGAACTATAATAGTAACTATATATGTCGTAAAATTACAATAAATCATAAACTAAGCTTGGTGCAAAAACATAAAGGAGAAAAACAATGAAAAATAAACGAGCTAAACTGCAAAAGTCATGATGAAGGCACAAGGGAGGTGGAATTCGATCCCGTAGAATTCATTAGTAAGAAATAGAATTTACTGTGAAATTTATATGTCATTGGTTAATATCTCTTTCTAAAAGGAAAAGCCCGAGATAGAGCTAATAAGAAATATTATCCGTGTAATTTAATGATAAAAGATCACGATGCTACGATCCATTCACAGTTATGCTTCTAACTTCAAACAAGAGTACAGATTACACAAAAAAAAAAAGTACAGATTTCTTGTAAAAAGGAAAGTGTTATTTTGTCGACCTTTTTTTTAATTTTATAATCCATTTTTTTCACTTCAATAAGAAACATAAAAGGAAAACGAATAAATAAGCAAAAATTACCATAAAAATTAAAAATTACCATAATAAATTAAGTTAACTATATAATGTATCCTGTATGGATTACTGACGTGATCCATACAGGATGAAGAAAAGTTAAGGAGAAATAAAATGGCTATTTAATAAAATAAAAAATATTAAAAAAAATATATAAAAAAATTATATCAATATTTTTACTATTTTTTTCATTTCGGTAGGGGTCTGATTACTCACGAACCCACTGGCTACGTTCACGATTGGATAATTTTTGAGATTGGGGGGGGGGGCATGTTTCATTAGTGTGGTTGTCCAGGGCAAAAAATTATATTACAGAGCGTCAAAATTATTGCGTATCAAATAAATATTTCAGACTTGATTGATTTTTTTAAATAAATATTAAAAATTAAACTAAATTTCTATTAAAAATCTTAGTATCTATTACGTATGTTTGAAAACTTAATTTGTTCTTTATCGAAATGTTCAGATTTAAAATAATACTATGAAGCTTACTCTGCACTCATAATGTGAATGAGATAAACTAAATTGATTATAATATAATATAAAATCTCTTAATCCTTTTAAATAAAACTAAAATTAAATAAAGTAATTTTATTATCTGTATTATTAAATAGGGTAGGAGCTTATATCCATACGTTAAAGCTAATAATAAACCTTTTAAGGCATTTAAAAGAATAATTCCCTTCAAAATTCGTCCATCAGCAATGATTCGCAGTCAATCTCCACAGAGAGGCAGCCAAGCAGGATTTACAGAAACTAAACACTCGACGTTGCTATGGTTACGCGTGACACTACCAGATTGATGAGGCCGTATTGATACAAAGGCATCGAATCTACGTGCTAACATTTCACTTTAAAGTTGTGAAAATTTATTCAATGTTTACTAACTTTAATGATATTTATTTTTGGCATCTGCATAAATCCAACTTATGATCAAAATCCTTCAATATGGTGAGAAATAGAAGAATTCAAACGTAATAGTTGGTAAGCAATCAACATTACCATTAGGCCTAGGTCAAACTTCACTGTCTTTTAGTATCAATGTTTTTTCTTTTCCTTTTTTTTTAGTTGTATAATTAACTACTATTATTAGTTATAGTGAATCAATGCACAAATAAGATTATGATGCTGATGTTAAATCGCTTTTTATTATAATTTTAAAATGTTTATTTATAATTTCTTTTTTTGTTTACATTATTATAATTTGTTTACATTATACATAAATGTATATATGTATTTTGGATAAACTGGCAGGTGATGAAATAAGCATTTTATTAAATTTTTTGCATGAAATAAATTTGCTGAAGTTAAATAATTTTTTTTGTAAGGTTTATTGGCTTATGATCTGATATGGTCTTTAAAAATAGTTACATTAAAATGTATGTTATCTTTTCCCTCTTATTATAAGTTGAATGCTTGCATATTGTCAAGTGCGTAGACTGTTTTTAATTCTTTTCATGCACATGTTTAAATTTTTCTTATCAGTGTAACTTTATCAAATATTTTGTTATTAATAATTAGTATTTGGTTTTGGCTCATGATAGTAATAAAAGCAAATGTTCATTCCAGACATTAATCAAAATTTCTAATTGTTTTTCACTCATGTTAGCAAGGCGCAAGGAAATTCAAATATTTTTTTTCAAAATTAGTATTTAATTTTTTTTGTATGATTTAATTTTGGGATGTTTCCGAATCGTGATATGTTGTGCCAGCTACAAACGCCACGGTGCCAAATAGATTTTAAACTTGCAATTAAAATTTATATTATACACATATATTATACACGTTTATCAATTGATATCTTGAAATCGAGTTTTTGCATATAAAATTTTCAGGGTTTTTCACCTTGTATCACAATTACTCCTGATCCTTATGATTGCTTTAATAATAGTATAAATATACATTTTCTTTTAAAAATTATTTTTATCATTGAAAAATTTAAAAGTTCATTTTTTATTTTAATCACTTGCAAAATCATTTACATATGGATTTTGAATGCAATGGTTACCACATGCTTGGAGACTATGTTTAAAGAAAAAAGTCTATGCATGGAAATTAAAATCTCAGAATTAGAAATAAGCTGTACTTTAAATACATTAAAAGCATTTTGAATGCACAGAAAATAGGGGAATTTCAGTTCTGTTAAAATTTTGGATATTCGAACTTTGAAAATCTCAATTTTTCTCAAAATTTTAATCAAAGATGCTAATCATCTACTATGGGCGTAGCACAGGCCCAATTTTTGAGCAGGACTAAATTAAATTATAGTCACACAAATTCTCTGAATTTCACTCATAACAATTTTTTTCTTAAATGTTCTAAATACCAGCAAAAACACTGATTATTTTTATCTCTTTCTTGTTTTTAACTTTATAGAATTTACATCAGTAATAATTCACAAAAACTTTAAATATTTATGGAAATATTGAGGGTGAGTATTTATAATTAATTTATTATAAATACTCACCCCCACTCTGACAACGGCGCCTATTTCATTTGCACTCAACACTTATGTATAAAAATTAACAATGATAAAAGAAGGAGAGTACAATCGTTGTTCATAAAAATTATTAAATTGATCTCTACAAAAATGAAAATGCCAAATGGGACAAGAAAGAAACATAAAAAAAGTGCAAGAAAGAAACATAAAAAAATCATACTATCTGCTTTTTATTATTTAGTGCCAAAATTTTCAATGTGCCATATAACAATATTTATATGTTAAAAATGCTGTATCATTGTTAAAAAATCAAAGGTATATCAGAATCACTGCTTGTCGAAAAATAATTCAGATAACATTAAAATAAACTGATATATTATAATAATTAATAAATTATAATTTAAAATTTTTTTTAAATTGAATTGTGAAAGTTATGTTCTTGAAAATTGTATTTGAGCTTTCTGGTTAGTTGAATTTTTGGTACTGTGATTTTTACTGTATTTTAAAGCGATTGTTTAAGCAGGTTTTTAAAATTATTTTCTAAAGAGGTCTGCTTCCAATATATCACTAATGAATGTTTTTTAATAAGCATTTTTTTAAAAAATTTGTTAATAAGAAAGATATTTTAGTTGTTTGTTTTTAGGTATAAAATTAAAAAAAAGAATTATGTAATATATTTAAATATAGATCAAAATCTAATAATGATTATGTATCTTTTCTATCTTGCCAAAAGAGATTGTTAAATGACCCTTTAAAATATTTCCCCAGGGTCTTACTGAAAATTGCAATGCATTAGTGCATAAAATTTATAATTGTTCTATAAATTCAGGCTTATTAAAAATGCTTTTTAAGCTTGTTATAAAAAAATACAACAAGCTCAATTTTTGAAATGAAATTTATCTACATTTCTTTTAATTTTTTAACTTTGTTTTTTGATTCTAAAGAATAAATTCCTTAAAAAACAAAAACTGTTTTTGCCTTTTCTTAAAAAACGTTTCTGAAAACCCTTGGAAGCTATTTCAGCTTATGTCTGACTAGTATAAATATCCGGCAAAAATTTCAATTACCTGACTCTTTATGCTGAAAGATTCTTCATGTTGAAACTTTTTACGACAATTAACTCTAATTTTATTTAAATTTTTTATTTGACCGTTCTCTAAATTTTGTATAATTTGTATTGAAACTGTGAGGTCTTAAAACTGGGAGTGTGGTAGTGTTTTGCTGTGTGTAAGCAATGCATACTGATTCATTTTCAATGGTTTATTTATGAATCCAAATATCATATTATGGTTATCTAATAAAATCTATGAATCAATAAAAATAGTTAATTAATAACTGTACAGCTTAAGTTAAATATAATATTTAGAAATCAATTTATTATTGACTGGAAAATTTTTGATTGAAAATAACCGCATAGTATTAATATTATTTAATGCCTATTATTAATTGGCATTAAAAGGTGTCAAACAAATAGAGGGAATAAATTTGAATGTCATTGATTGATATGTAACAAACTTTTTCTGTAAATTATTTAAGACTGTAATGAAATATTTTTAACATGGTGAAATTCTTAGGTTGAAATAGGTTATACCTTTATTCAGTTACGAGAGTAGGGTTATATGAACCTAAGTGTCGGAAATTTAACGGGCAATATATATGTACTAAAATTTGAAACTGATACCTACTGTATATAATTTTTAATTTCATTTTGCTTTTTAATAATCATTATCGCTATTGATTTGAATCAGTGGTTCCTGAACTTTTTTGTCTCATAGACCCCTTACCATGTTTTTGGGTAGACCCCCTGCTTACCTGATATTGATTTTTTGTAAATTTATCAACTTCAAATGTATTTTTGACAGCTGGTACAGTGCTACTCACTGTGAAAGATTTAAATTTCTAACTGCAGTGTAGTGTGAAAAATTTAAGAAAAAAATACATGTTAATTTTATACATCTATTAATTAAATTCAAACTAATTTAATTTAAGTAATATGTAAATGGAATAAAATAGTGTACTATAAAACCCGTACTCCGCTACTAATATTATAATTGCGAAAATAAGTTTGTATACAAAGCCGTTGTAGTATATTGTCGGTCTGTTTATTACGTTTTCATGTAAAAACTAAGCAACAAATCTCCATGATCTTGGGAGCGGTAAAATTGGATGTCTTGTTAGCTAAAGAGTTGACACAGTCTAGGCTACAATTTACCGCGAAAATTTTATTTTTTGTTACAAAATAAAACCTTACATGTAGAGAAAATAAAAACGCACGCGGGCGGAGCTGCAAGCAACTGCTAGTTTACAATAATTCAGTTTCATACCTCAAAAAATTATCCTTATAACTTAAATTTTAATAAAATTTTTACTTCATAGCTACTTTTATAAATTATGCAGAATCTAGATAGATATATGTCTTTATATTATAAGTAAGGTAGTATAATGCCCAGAAGCTGAAAGTGCCTGAAACTGTGTTGTATGTCGCACAACAAACAAAGTCCTGCAGAACAATTTGTATCTTGAATGAGTGACAGCGTTTTCCTGCAAAATGCTTGCAGAACATTTGTATAAATTAACAAGTCCTGTTGCAGAACATTTGAAAGTATTCTGTTTATGGGGTATAATGTAAGTAAATAGGTACTATCAGTGTATGTTGATTATTCCATTCATGAAATGCCAAAATTAAAAGTCTCGACCTGCTTATAGGAGATCTACTATCATTGGCCCCTATTTTCATATCATGGACCCCCAAGTTTTTTTTTTCACTTGACATAGACCCCTTGCAGGTTGTCATCGACCCCTGGGGGTTCGATATAGATCACTTTGGGAATCACTGATTCAAATGAAGTAAATTAATCACCTTAATTCTAATAATTATGAAATCTGTCACCAATTTTAATTCCATTTTTATCTAATATAGTTTTATGAAAGATCCTGATGTTAGCCACTGTGAAACCTGTTCACCACCAGTTGATAACTCCACCAGCTGTGTCTGGTATGAATAGATATGTGACATTAAGCCAACTTGGAGATGGAACTTATGGCAGTGTTATGCTTGGACAGCGTTTAGATACTGGTGAAAAGGTTGCAATTAAAAGGTAACTTATTCTTTTTTGAAATTTTTAAAAGGCTACACATATATTGTTTTGATGTTTATTATTGTTATATTTATCGTGAATAATGTTTTGCAACATGAAAAAAAAAAGTTTAATTAATTGAAATTAATTCTAATAAGTGAATAAACCAGACTTTCTAAGCTTTTTGGAAATTTGTTCCAGTTTGATACACATTGTAAATCAATCTCAATTTATCTTATTTTGTCAATTAATTTATTTACTCAATTTATTTTATTTTGTTGAGTGTATAAAATTAAAAGATTATTTCAAATCAAAAATATGATTTCTGAAATTAATGATAGTATAACTATTATTACTTTCTTGAACTCAAAGGTACCAGGATGAGATGTCATTCTGATCTCCCAAAATTTTTTATTACTTTGAAACTTAAAAAAAATTGGTCTGCTTCCCACTCGACAAATTTAGGTGATTGTCATTTTTGCTGAATGCATTACAAATAAAAATTTAGTAAAAAAATTGTCATTTAAAAACTTTTCACTGTTGTCAAAGGTGAACATATTTTTAACAAATTTAAAATGGTACTTATCGGTTATAGAGACCATTATATTGGTATTTGTTTTTTAAAATAGCTGCCAAATTAAACTTAGGTCCTTATAATTGTGTAGTCCTTATAATTGAAAAGTATGAATTCTGATAATGCAATATATTTTTTTCAATTACAAAAATTATATGTTATGAATTGACAGAATAATAACGAAAAATCTTTTTTTGCATTGAATTCTATGCATTTAAATTTTTTTTTTGTTCTATGTGTAGTGTATTCAAATGTAATAACTTAATAACTGAAAGTGTCTGGTACAAAATTTTTTTCAAATTAAATCTTGAAATTTCAAATTTACATGTTGTGCTGTACTTTGCATTCATGTACTGACAGTATAAGTGTTCATCAATGAAGTGATATTTTTGAACTGACTTAATATAAAATTTTATAATTTTTAGATAATTAATTTTTGGATAAGTAAATTTTAATGTATTATTTTGTTTGCTATTACTTTCCCTGTTTTCTTCATTTAAATATTTATCTGGCCTCAGTCCTTTAGTTTCTATGTTGAATTTATTTATTAATGTTATTTTACCTTTTTTACCCATAATTTTAATAAATGCTATTCTTTAATCATTATGGGGTGGTGACCCTAATTAATTTTAGGGTAATATAGATAACAATAAATAATTTTTTCTGTGTACCATAGCATGAATTATGTAATTGTGAAGTCAATTGGTTTTGAAGTTAGGTATGGTTTTTCAAGTTAGTCTATCATAGTTTTTGGACCTCTAAATGAATACCTAGGTGGTCGCATTGGACCACTAAATTTTTATTGTTGGTGTGAACCTTACTTACAATATTTTGTAATACTCACAGAAGAATTCTAATGCTTTAAAAATAAATATAAATTTAATACACAGACTAATATGTTTTTATTGGATAAACTTATTTATTAATTCAGTCGCTTTGTTTATTGTTGCCTTTTATTTTGTGCACCTTTTCAGTTGCTTTTATTTGTAGTGCTTCTTGTAATATTATTTCTGCACTTATTAACTCAGGTGGTGATTGATGTTTTCTGCCTTATAATCACGTTTGCCATATATATGTTATGCATGGTTTTATATTGCTGAGTTAAAAATCTTTCACAAATTCAAGACATGGGATTAATGACTAAACGTTACAAGTTTATGGAGACAATTGGTAATGGCACTTACGGCACTGTATTACTTGCTTACAATTTGGATTCGGGTGAAAAAGTGGCCGTCAAAAGGTAAAATTTAAACCTTGCACAAATTATTTATGTCTAATTGCATATACTTTTTATTTTTTTGATAAAAGTTTGTAAGAAATTATCAATTTAAAGTTGTAAATAATTTTCGTAACTTTATACTAAATTAATTTTCTTACATTTAATTAATTATTTGCAAGGTTTGGGTCAATATATTGCTAAGTCACATTTTTAAACTGTAGAAGAGAGCATTTTTACATACCAATTTTGGTGAAAAACACTCTTCTTTCATTCAAGAGAATAATATATTTATCTGCCATGTTTTCTTTTATAAAGGACAAATTAGGAATTGTTAAGTATCTTCCTGGAGATAATACAAAGAAATGATTTGATATAAAAAGGGCATTTTGGAAAAAGTGTGCCTTACTATTATATTTACCTAAACCCTTCATATCCATTTTAACCAAAATATATTTTATTTTATTTATTTTACTCTAAATTTTATTTAAAATAAATGTTTGTGCTATAATATTTTTATTTTAAATATTGCATCTAATTTTTAATTATTAATGATCAAATATTTGTCTAAAATTTATATGCGTTTTGTAAATATTACTTACACAAGAGTATGAGAAAAAGTTTTACTACAAAGTTTTTATTTCCATTGGCAAAAAATTTATAAAATTTCCATTGAATTTTTTTTCCATTGATTTCTTTTATGACTTCTTCCTTTACTTTTATCAAATTTTTTAATCAGTCAAATGTTAGTTTTATAATTTTGGTTTTGGGGTCACTCTTAGTTAATGGGTACTTTGTTGGAGATACTAATAGTTGTTCAAGATTCGAGGCACATCTTAAAAGTAATTACTGATTCTCAAATCAGATTTGAGAATCTCTTTAATTATTTCAGCCAACCAATTTTAGTAACAATCACCTTTTTGTTGCATCTCGAGGTGTATCATCATCATTATTGTGCATCAAGATTTAAAATTCATAAATTGTTACATTTAATGAAAGCGTATGTTATTTTGTCGCATTAATAGGCACTGTAGTTATAAAACAAACAGTAAATAGTTATAATATGTAAAAGTATATAAAGATTATTGCTTCACGTTTGTTTTTGTATCTATAAATGAACTATCTTGTATCTATAAATAAAAATTTAACAAGTGCCAACAAGAAAGAAAAAAAAGTTTTCAAGGCTGGCTGATTTTTGAAAGTAAAATTAATTATATAATTTTATGTATAACACATTATGAAGGATGTAAAATGTGTGTACATGTGAATGATAAAAAAAAGATTAATAGTTAAAAATTAAGACATAATTTAAATTTAAAAGTGTTTTAATTGGTTTTGGGGAAATTAGGTTTTATGAGCAGTTCTATATTATCTTTATTTATTTACTAATTTTGAATTTTCAATGGAAAAATCTAATTTTTCATTTTATGCTATTAATCTCATAACTCCTACTTCATAGTCTGTGAGTAGAAAATTAATGAATGATTAAAATGAATCAGAAAGATTGTTTAGGTTATTTTTTTTAAAAATTATTTGCTGTCTCATAAAAATATAACCTGTCTTGTAAAATAAAAATATGAAATATAATTCTAGTTTATGCTGAAGTTAAAGATAATTCAGGAAGTAAAAATTAGATTTGCGTTTCCTTATTTGAATTTGCTGAATTTTTTTTAGCAGTTTGGTTGATGTTATTTTATTCATGTTCATATAGTAAATTTTTATACATGGGAGGAATGGCAGCAAATCTATGTCGTCCATTTTATCGTTCAACTTTTTTTACACTGTTGAATAAAGTGCAAATAATATGAAAAAGCAGAAATGTCACCTAATTTTATCATTGGTTTTTCTAATATTGATTAAGTAAAAAGCACAAGTAACGCTTTATGATTTACCATTATAATAATTTTCCATTATGCTCTTTCACATTGTTTTAACATTGTTCAAAGTGAAAAGCACATCTAATGTCACATATTTTTTATTGGTTTTCCCTCTTGTGCTTTTTCAAATTGCTTTAACTTAATATACATTCAGCAAAAAGTTAATCCTTCATTATTTGGTAGTACAGTATTTTTTTAAAATCCAATCATTATTGTCTTTTTTTTTAATTCATGAGTGCTAATATATTTGGTATATTTTAGAATGAAGAAAAAATATCATTCATGGGAAGAATGTATGAGCCTAAGGGAAGTTAAGGTATAGTTTTTTTTCTTATCCAAACTGTTAAGAACATAATATTCATTGCTGTTAATCAGTATTTGTTAATTCAGTTTGATTGCATCTATTTTAGTCTCTGCAAAAATTGAGTCATGCAAACTTAGTGAAATTGAAAGAAGTTATAAGAGAAGATAATACTTTATACTTTGTGTTTGAGTACATGAAGGAAAATTTGTATCAACTCATTAAGGGGAGGTAAGGTTACATTAAATCTTTATTGAAGCATATTATTAACTAAGATGCAAAAAAATTTTACATTTTTAGCCAATAGACAAAATGTTAGACCAAATAGTGGACTCGTTTATTAATGAAATTTCAATATTTATCGAAAGAAAGTGCTATGTGTAGCCTTAATGAGAGTTTATTTTGTTAATATTAACATATCACTAAAAGTATTATTGAAGTATGTGTCCCTAAGTTACTATTTTCCAACAATATGTTTAATAAATTTTTAAATTTTTCTAAATTGGATTTCAAATCATTATTGTCAGAGAATTCAAATTCAGTAAAACCTCGTTACAACAATATTTTGGAAACCAAATAAATATATTGTTGTAGAGGGATATATTATTATATCGAGAGTCTACATACTTTGGGGACACAATAAGATTTTTTTTAAATTTTAATGTTGTATATGTATTAACTATAAATGTAGTTATATATTATGTAAAAATTTAATTTGCAGAGTGGTAATTATGGTTAAGTATGAAATCAGATAGGAATGTTACATATGTGACTTCTTAAGAGATAAGGGAGGCAATTCTAAGAATGGAAGGTCTTGCGTTGGTCTATGTACATCAAGGATAGGGTATTGAAATCTGAATACAAAAGCCATTCAATCAGCAGTGAGACTTCATTTGTCAGAAAAGACCGGAAAAAAAGGCAAAATATGATAAAATAAGATTTTTTTGCATTATTTGAAAACCAATAATAAATGGAGAAAATAAGTTTGAAATGTGAAGAAAAAAATCGTTTGCAGGGGTTTATTGCTTCAAAGAATGTCACAATATTGAGAGGTGGATAACATATGCAAGTTAATTCATATGCAAGTTCGCCGGGACTACGAAACATTATTATAATAAAGGGAGTTGTTGTATCCGATATCGTAGTAGCGAGAGTTCACTGTATTACAAACATCATTCTTGTATTTTATTTAAATACAAATGCTAAATTGGAATATTGTTAATAGTACTTGGATATCATTGTTCTGTTTTATTTAATTCATTTGACCATAAATACTAAGTGAGTGTTGTGCTCAGCTTTTTTTTTTCTTGTTGGACTTTTTTTTTCTTGTTCCATAACTGATTCAGCACTGCCCTCTTTTAGAAAAAGAACTAAATGTGTTCCCTCTTTGAGAGAAGATACTAATGTTTTTGAGCACCATCTTTTATTTTTTATTATGATTCTTATGATTTTTTTCTATAGAAAAATTATATTTTAATTTTCTCGTCCCTTTTCATTGTAACATTGTAAATGCTAAACTATATTAACAGATATACTAGTGATATATTCTCATAATAATAGACTTTTTATTTAATTAATATTTCTGCAATTTTAAGCACTATATAAAATAATATAATGCTTAAAATTATTTAGTTCAAAATAATTCAGTAGAATAAATTTGATACTTTATTTTTCAGGGATAATCCTTTTCCAGAAAATGTGATAAAAAATATACTTTATCAGATTTTGCAAGGCTTAGCTTTTATGCACAAGCATGGCTTTTTTCATCGAGACATCAAACCTGAAAATTTGCTATGTATGGGACCAGATCTTATAAAAATAGCTGATTTTGGCCTTGCACGGGAGATTCGTTCCCGACCGCCTTACACAGACTATGTTTCTACTAGATGGTATGCATTTATCTGATCCGTATTTCTCAAACAATCATATGTTTTATGATTGTCTTAATTTTCTTGCATTTTTAATATGTCTTGTTATTTTGTTAATTAATTTGTGATGAATATTAAAAAATGCATTCAGTAAAGGCTTAATAATGTCAAATATTAATTTAATGTAGGCTAAAGGGATATTAAGGGCAGGATCTTAGGATTACCAAACCGGTACTACTTTATACTAGGAAAAAAAACTTAATTTTGTTTTTACTTTTGTTTTATTTTTAATATGTTTGTTTATTATTTATTTTTAAGCTCACTTAAAATTATTGATACAAAAATATAATTTATTAAGAATTTATGGTTGATGTGTGTAAAAATGAAAAGAGTGTGTTTTGAATAATATGTATACTTTTACGATTATATAATTTCAACTAGAAACAAATATTTTATTATTTTTAAACTCTGGCAAAAATTTATATTTTCTGTATTTTTTATTTAAAATTAGAGATGTACTTTTTTTATTAGTCATATTCTAGTCTTATAGAGTTATAAGCCCCAATGCAATTTCTTATTTCTCCTTCTTTTGTCTTAGGTCCTATATAAAAATGCTAGTTACATATATTTGTATAATTTTAGCTTATTCACATAAAAGTTTCCAGGGAATCTAAACTTACTGCTACTTTGTTTGTAGTAGTACTACATAAAGTGTGGCTTTGAGGAGAACTACTCCAGACTGAAAGTCTGGGGATGTCTGCTGCTATGGTAACAAGCGAGAGCACATTTCTATTGGGGGTGAAATGGAATAAAGATAGTGTCGATTGGTTTACTCACGACAACCTATGGTATGATTAAGACAAAACTATTCACCTCGCACCCTTATTTGAAATGACCTTTCCTTGTAACCATAGTACTTACCATGACGCGAGACGTGTGTCTGGAGGAGTTCTCCTGAAAGCGGTACTATATAGGAGGTTGTTAACACTTATTGTAAATTGTTTTGATAGTTATATTCTTTGCAAAGAAAAAAGTATTTCTTGCACTGATGTGTTTCTAAACCATAGTCTTTGTTCAAATGTTTTATAAAAGTAATTTTTCATAGCATTGTTGCTGATTTTATTTTCTGCTAAATCTGATTTTATTTTACTCTTCCTAGATCCAGTTGAATATTTATATTGCGTAAATAATTGCTTGATTAAGTTCAAATTGTTTTGTTATACAACTATTAAAAGGTGAAGTTATTTACCTTTTATTAAATAATTGATGGTATGGTTTGATTATTATCACATAATCCAGAAATTAAGTTTCATTTTTACTTTGGAATTGCTATGTTTATTAGTACAAGCATATGCTTTCTTTCTGCTGAGGTATTGGCAAGCCAGAAAAAACATTCTCAGAATGCTGACTTATGTAATGTTTGTTGGATGAGAATTTCAGATGCTTAAAACTATCAAGTATTTAGTCATGTGCCAGAACTCTGTCAGTCTTCTGATTTCTCAATGAGAAGAGCACCACTACTTATGAAATTCTCAAATAAATTTGAAAAGTGTACAGACCCAGTGGGATTAGTGAATCCATAGTCAGATGGTGGGTGCACCGATTTCATAAAGGATGTGAAAATGTTTATGATGACAAACAAATGATCGGTGTGCCCATCTCAATATATGGCACAACCCCCGATAGTCTGGATAACGCATTGAATAACTTTCATGTTTTCAAACACTTGCAAAGACATGGAAGATTTCAGATCCATTGTTACTCAATGGTTGCAATCGCGGATGGTATCACTCTTTGCTCAAAGCAAATACTTATGCCCCATTAAGATCAATGGCCTGTTAGTCTGTTATAATAGTATAGTCTGCTATAATAGTAAATAATAGTCTGTTACTTGCAGTTCAATATTTAATAAAGTTTCATTTATTATTTTCTTTTTTTGTGTTGCTAATTGGAACTTACTTTCTGAATTATCTGATTCAATTTAAAAAGTTTTATAAAATTCTCTTGAGTGTTATGTTTTGTTATTATCTTAGGTATCGAGCTCCTGAAGTTCTCCTTAGAGCAACAAATTATAATTCTCCCATTGATATGTGGGCTGTTGGATGCATAATGGCTGAGCTTTATAACCTTAAACCGTTATTTCCTGGAAGAACTGAAATCGATCAAATATTTAGAATATGCTCACTTCTAGGAACACCAGATCAAGTATGTTAATGTTTGCTTAATGATTATTACCTATTTTTGTTGTTATATTTATTGTATATTTCGTTTGATGCAAGATTATAAAATACTTTTTTAAAGCTTTTCCGATTAAATGAAAATGAAAGGAACATTTGTGACTTTTGAGTTTCTGAAATTAAGGAATAAAAAAAAGAGCATAAGAGAAGGTTTTTAATATCTAATTGTAAGTCATCTAGTTTTGCATATCTAGTTGTTGCACATTTAGTTGTAAGTTTAGCTGTATGATCAGAGATATTTCATTTCACCATTAAAATAAATTATATACTGTCTAAAAAAACTGCAGTAATATTTTTAATCATTTTATTAACCTTTTGCTAATGCTGGTTAGTTGAACCAGAAATGACAGGTTTCACCTTGTAAGTTAAAGCAAAGAGTTAAATGAAACAATAAAGATATTTTTCATGAAAAATTCAAAGTAATCACTGATACTTATTAATGAAAGAATGCCTAAAATTCATGAAATATTAAAAATTAGGAACTTTTTTATTATTAAGTATTGAAATAAATTTAAAATACTGATAAAAATATAAATTTTTAATTTATATTTAACATATGAATAATATATTTAAATTAATTATTTGCTGAAAAATATGGAATAGATAAATAGATTTTATGTGTGTCACTAACTGGGATAATCTGAACCTCTTGTTATGAATTTATTTAATTTTGAATTTTTAAGCAGAGAGATTTGTCTGATGATATATTTAAAATAATTATTCAGTGAAAAATCTGGAATATATATTATAGATAGATGTTATGTGTGTAACTTGTGGAATAACCTGAACCTCTTATAGTGATTTTTTAAAATTTTGAATTTTTTAACAGAGAGATTGGCCAGATGGATTTATCTTAGCGTCTGAAATGAATTTTAAATTCCCTCAGTTTGTTGAAATGCCAATTCCATCATTAGTTCGTAATGCCAGTCAAGATGGTTGTGTTTTGTTAAAAGATTTGCTTCGATGGAATCCTGATAAAAGACCAACCGCTGTTATGGTAAGTAAAAAAATACATTTAGTATTATCTAACTGTGAACTTGATCGACATTTTCAGCAATGTAATTTTTAACAAAATGAATTGTTTCATATTATTCTTAATGCATTATTTCTCTCTTTAAACTTAGAAGTTTTATATCATAATCTTATTAATTTGAATTTATTAGATGAAATAAAAATGCTTATATCAGATTGTAGTTCTATATTTAGTAATTAAAAGAACAAAAATGTTTATAAGATACTTTAGTTTTATCATTGAACATAATTATAACTATATATATAGCATGTTATAATTAAATTGAAGATCATAACATGCTATGCTTAGGTAACTTCCTTTTATAATTAAAGAAGTGATTAATGTTTCTATTTATAACTTATTATTTTTTTTTTGAATAAAGTGACAAAAAGAATAATGAAAAATGATTATTCTTATTTTTTTTATTAATAATAAAACACTTAAAAAATATAATTTTAATTTATTAAATAAAATTAATAGGAGTAAGTCAGAAAATAATTCTGTATTTAGTTAAATAAAAAGAACGAAAATGTTAATTAGAAGCTATAAGCCTACCATCAAACATAATTATAAACTCAATATATCAAAATGAAAAAAGTGATATAAGTTAAACAATATCATATTAGGATTGAAAATGTAATTGGTGCTTCCCTTAATATGTTATTATTATTCTTTTGAATAAAATGACAGAAATAATGATTATAAATTCTTTGGCATGGATCTCTGGTTGTTATTTGGTTAATCAAATATTCGATTGAAAAATCAGCTATTTTTTGTTGCTTTTTCAGTGATTCTAAACTTATTGTACAATCCTTTTCTTTGAAATGTTATGGAGATTGATTGACGAGAAAGAGACGCTGTTAATCGACAAGCATATTTTTGTTTCGAATAAGCCAAAAATTAGTAGTTACACTTTTTTTAAACTTTTTGATGAAATTGTGTAGAGTTTAGCAAAATCTACTGCATTCAAAGTGAAACCTAATTTTAATTGCCAATAATCTTTAATTTAAAGAAGAAAATTTTTTAAAACTATTTTTTAAATATAATCAAGATACATTTATTTAAGAGCATTTTTAATTCTAAAACAATATTTATATGTGTTTTTTAGTGAAATATATACTTATTTAAGAACTATACCCACTTTACCCCACTCTAGGGTAAAGTGGGTATGTCAAAACATGTTCTTTTAAATGCATTACTGTAAGAAAGCAATCAAATAAGATAGGTATGCTATGCTTCATATTTGATTTATATGAATCCATTAATATAAAATGGATCAAAATTTTTGGTAAAATAAATTTTATAGTTTGGTTTTAGAGCATTCTTTCTTTCTTTCTTTTTTTTTTAAAAAAAAAGGTTTATTTTATACCCACTTTATCTTCTGAACCTATCTCATTAAATTTTGCTATTTTATGCAGGGGGTTCTTTAATTACTTTTGCTACTTTTTTTACTTCAACATTTATATTTTAGGCTGCTCGTTACATATACTTTCAAAATGGTCTGAAACCAATGTCGCACACCAATCGTCGTGTGTCTGCTTTTAATCGCCATCTTCCAGAATCTTACCAAGAGAATGTACCTAAACTGAAAGCACTAGAGGTTTGAATAAATTATCATTTAAATTAAATTAAACGCATATTACTTTTCTAAAAATTAGTATTGTTTATTTTGGCCCACTGTTTTATTAAATACAATACAAGTACAATGTCACCAACCAAAATAGTTGGCTTTCAAAATAAAAATTTCTAATGAATTTTATTTTCGCAACAACCATTTGCAGTCTATATTAGTGATACTCAATAGCAAAAGTTAAATCTGTAACTAATTGTTATTTAACAATTGGTTAAAGGTTCAAAAAGTACTAAAATTGTAAAGCGAGTATTATTATTTTTTTTATTCATTTAACTATATAGTATAACACTTTGCATCCAGTCACAAAATGTCAGTAAATATATGTGAAGCCAATGTATAATTTTATATTTAAATTAATTTAAGTACTATTTGATAGTATACATGCAATTAAACAAAAAACTAACAGTTCCTAAACATATATTATACATAAAATATTGAGAAGCTTATATAAAAATATTAATTAATTTGAATATACTCAAGTGATTTGAGTCAAAATCTAAATATATATATACACAGATATTGTTGCAGTTCATATTATTTTTACTCTTGGTTATTTATAAAATATTTTTTAGACATCAAAAATGTACATTTTATGAATAAGGTATTTTAGAATTATTAATAAGGTGTACTACTTTTCATACTATTGCTCTCATAGTATGTTTTTGAATGATGTTATGGCTATTTTACCAGACTTTGAAGAATCCTTCTGTTTATTTTAGAATGTTATGTATGAGAGCAATGGTGAAGCTTTGATCTCCATATAATATGTTGTTGCTGGAATACTTTACTTTTTTTTGTTTTCATATTTTTAACCTAAAAGAATGTACCTTTTCAGAAATTAATTATTCTAGAGAAACTTCTACTTCCAATATCTTCACAAGTTTCTTCGTCTTGTTACACATTATTTGATAACTGTGTTTAAATTTATAGAGTATAATATTCATTTTATTCAAAATTCCAAATAAGTTGTTATAATTTAATTTAAAGTAGTTTGCATGGCTTTAAGCTTTTTATAATAAAATTTTGCTGCTTTTGCTTAAAATGATATAATTATTGTGAAAAGTACTTAATAGCTAAATTGACAACACATATTGAAATACAGTGGACAAATTATAAGTGTTGTTGAGAATATATTTATTTACAAAAATCAAAACAACTATTAAAAATGAATAAAAATGTATGTATCTATATTTCTATAAAGAATTGTGTGTACACAATGATAAAAGAAAACATATTGTATTTCATTTTGATAAAGTGTATTATATTTTTATGCTATTAATTAAATGTAATATTGTTTATTACTAAGACACTTACTATAGATGTGCAATTTTCAGTAAAATGTTACTGCATATAACTTTTTTAAACTTGGATTTTCTTTTAATAATTCTTTTTATCATCTTAAAAACTTACTTACTGATTAAATTTCAATTTATAGGAAAAATCAGCATACAGAAAAAGATGGGGTGGAGACCAACTAGCACAAGAAAATACTGGCCCATCTGACTCTGAAAACAGCCTTATTGCTGATAAAGTGTAAACAAATAATATAATTCATTTTATAGGCTTATTATTATATTTATGAGTGAATAAGTTGTTGTTTAATAATTTAAATTCATTGCATTCCATTTTGTATTATAAACTATTAAGTTGGCAAGCATGCTCCAACCATTTTTTATAATTTTATAATTTCTTTTTTTTTTTTTCAAGTTATTTTTCAGATCATTAAAATGTAATGTTAAGTTAAAAAAAAAGAAAAGAAAAAAGAGCATTTTCGACACGCCCTATTTTTACTTTCTATCAATGTTTCAAGGCCAGAAAAGCTTCTCATAACATTTGTGTTGTGTATGAAGAGGATGGAAATTTTGACCTCAAAAACGTTCCTTGTTCTGGCCATCCAGTTACCTTTGATGAAAAGTGATAAAACCAACTTTTGGTTAAAAAAATTGTCAGCAAATGTTAAGGGACTTTGGCATAGAAAATGGAATGTTTCTATTATTTAAGCTTTTAAAATAATTAAAAAAAAAGAAAAGAAAACTGAGAAAATAATTGCTAACCCAATATTTTGTTCCGTATTTTTGTCAAGAACAATAATGTATGGAATTTTAAGTTTTAGTTGTGCTAAGTCTTGACTTTTCATGTAGGTACATGATAAAATTTTATTAATTTTACTTTAAACCTTTAAAAGTATAGCCACTGATAAAAAAAAATTATACATATTTTTTTAAAACTCTTTTAATGAATAAAGTAATGCAGCAGTATTAATTCGTATATTAGAAAGCATGCAATTAAAAATACATAAGCAGCTTTTATATTGTTTATTTTTACAAATATAATTTTATAAATGTCACTCAAATATACTTTCAGTATAGTTCTTTTATTATGTTTTGAATCAAAATTTAGCTTTATTTGTAGTTTCATGTTTTTTAAAATNAAAAAATTTTTATTTCAGAAACAATTTTTTTCTTTTTTTAAATCAGCAGTGGGGACAAGTGAGGGAATGACATATTGGTATATTTTTATTACCTAAAATTAATAAAAAATAAAAATTGATAATTTTTTTTTATTCTTTTGTTAGCTTGCATTCTGAAGGACATTTTCCCTGAAAATTTTTTTTTCGTAAGTTGTAAAACAAACATAAAATATACTGGGGACATGAAAATGACTGTTTTTGTGAGAATGACCCATATGACATTTGATTTTGAATATCTAATATATAAATACCCCCTCCCCATTTTTTTATCATCATTAATGTATTTTTAATTTTCTGTTTCAATAACATCTAAAATATTATTTTTGCTATTTTTTCAAGCTGTAATGATTAGTTTGTATCAATCATATTCATGTGAATATGATTTTTATCTTTAATATATTACCATTTCTAACATGAATTTCTTGTAGCATTCTATCATATATATCATGAAAAATCCTCTAAATGTTTATTATTTTGAAATTTTTTTTACATGTATCTAATTTTTTTAAGAAAATGTGCTGATTTATGCCTTAAAGTTTTAATCTTCAAGTTCATGAAAAAAATTATTTGAATTTTTATATTCTGTTTGCAGTATTGAAAGACAGCCATCCCATGATGTTACTAGATTTTCAGCTAAACAACAGTACATGAATAAACCAAGATATGTTTCTGGAAATATTTCAAGAAGTGTCCTATTTAATGAAGCACCAAGGTTAAAAATGAATGGTAATATCTTTTACTGCATTGCATAAGGTCAATCAGAGTTTTGAAGAACTTATTCCTAAATAATCTTTTTTATTTAAAGGTCATTTTAATAATTCATTTTCAAATTCATTTGAGCGACGCAACTCACAGCCTACTGTCAATGGTACTCCAGTACAAAAATCGGCCAGAAATTATGGACAGGCCTCAAACCCTGTGTTTTCAATACCTGGAAAAATTGATTGGAGTGCCAAGTAAGTATTAAAAAACCACATTATTATTTTGCTTAAAAAAACTATTTGCACAAATGTGATGATTAAATGCATTAATATCCTTTGAAAAGTTTAAAAAAATATATAATAGAAATCATTTCTAACATTTTATTTGTGGCAACAAGTATCTAAAGAGCATTGCATTATGGTAGAACTTTCCAACAATATTTATTCAGAAACTGTTTTTTTTTTGTTTAATTCAATCAAAATTATCACAATCAATAGTGAAGTTGAGAATTCTGTGATTTTTAATATTTTGTTTAAAATCACATAATACTGTAATGAAATGTTATGCCAGTTTTTCCAAATAGAGTTAAATTTTATTTCATGAATTTTAAACTGTTATAAATGCATTTTTTATTAGTTTTCTAAAACAGTTTGTGTTAAACCATTCCAGTTATCATAAAATATGCTTACTGGAATGGTTTAATACAAAAATTATTTTCATACTAAATTAAAAAGTAATTATTTTCATACTAAACTATTTTTTTTAAATGCATTAATTAAAGTTTTGAATTTTTAACTAAGTTTTGAAGCGTCGAAAAAATAAGTAAATTTCATTTACTCATTTTTGCGACGCTTCAAAACCTATTTGAATGCTTATAACATCTTTTTATTCTATTTAAAAAGAATAATTATTTTTTTAAAAAAAAATTGCAAACATTTGAGAGTTCACATTTTGGGATCTTCACATTTCATTTCATTTATTGCAAAATCAAAAGTACTTTTAATAGCCCATTTACCTTAAATAATGCCCATTATTCATTATTATTTCATTTATTATATACTATTTTGTTATGAAATAATTTATTGTCGCTTGGAATTAACTATAATTATTAGTTTTCCTTTAAACTTATTTTGATCTATCTTTATATAGAGCAATCTATTTCTGAAGTTGAAAAAATCTTGGATCCAAAAGTTTCTTACCACGTGTACAGTTTTTTAATAATTTTTTATTTTAAAACGTTGAGTGTTTCCCTATTTTTTTTAATGTTGTGTATAATTAAAGAAATTGTCACATAAAACAAAACTTTCAAAGCAGTGGATCATACTTTTTTTTTACCGTTCCTAAAAATAGCATGTAAGCATTGTACCAAAAAATGTTGTCTTGACTTCTATTTTGAAGCACTTACAAAGATTTCAGTTAATATTAGTCAAGTTTTAAAAATGTTTAATTGTTAGTAACCTTTAATAATATTAAACTTTTAAAAATTGATTGAAGTATTTTTTCTTAATAAACTGTGCTGGCACTTTTTACTAGTTTTATTACTATTTTAATCTAGCATGCTTTATCATTTTTTCCAGGTATCTAAACTAGTCAAACTGAATTCTGTGGTAAATTTTATCCAGTAACCTCTTCCAAGATTGCTCTGATTTTAAATCTAACAAAAGACATTTTAGGTTTATTCTTGTAACTATCATTTCATTAGTTATTTTATCCTGTATCTATGCCCTTTGTAATTTTAACATGGTTACTTGAAAGAAAATCCAGCCATCTTTTATTTGATGTAAACATAATTATCATATTTAAAAATTATTGTAGCAGAAAGTATTGTTAATAAGTATATATTATGAATACAGCAAATATACAGTAGAGCTCTGTATATCTGAAACCTGGTAATCAAAATTTCTGAACCGATACTACTTGTCAAAAATTATAAATTAATAGAACCATTTAAAATATTTATTATGTAACTAAAAACAACTCAGTCAATAAAACAAAAGAATAAAAAATATAGATTAAATATTGAGGAGTGAATCATTCAAATCCAAGGATAGAATAAATTTGCATAATTTCTTCAAGTAATTTAAATGATTAATATCAAAATTATATAAAGCATGATGCTTGATTGGGAAAATAAGACAGATTTGAACCTTGATTTAAAATGTGATATTTGAATGATTCAATATAACAATATGGGTAACAGCCCTAATTTATTCAGATTAGTGAGGTTCTACTGTATTAAGAATTTTTCCCTTTTCCTTTCATTTCAAAATTATATTTACTAAGTTACAAAATGAAATCAAATATTTCTGCAAAGAGAATATTTGAAGATGTGATTGATGGGAAAAGCATGTTTATTTTTGCATAGACTTTTAAAGAGTGATTGAATTAAATGTGATGTGCCTCTTATACTTTTTAAATTATTATTATTTTTTTTGCACATCATCAGGTGATCAGCACGGGTTTTTTTGTTGTACATAGTTCATATCTAGTCATAAAATTTCATTGTATATGAAGCATAATGTGTTTATTTTAATCAAAAATGTGTATGATAAAATTAAAAGAATGTAATAAGACATAGCTGAGCTCAATAATATGAAATAAAAATATTTTACGATTAAAGATTTTACTTTAAAATCAATTTTACTGTGCCTTAAACATGATAATAAAAATATAGCTAATTGAATAGCTTCAAATTATTGAATAGAACTAGCGTTTTGATAAAATAAAAGTTGTAACTGCTTAAGTTTTAAAATAAAAAAACTTCACTGATTTAATTAAAATAATTGAATTTTCTGTTTGAAGAAAAAAGAAGATGAAATAAAAGTTATCATGTAAGATAATCATTCTTAGATAAGTTGCTAGTTAAGTAGATTAATAATAATTAAATAGGGAAAAATAAAATGTTTACTTAGAGTTATTTTTTTATAAGTTTAACTTCAAACTGACAATTCAATTAAATATTTTGTTATTTGTGATAATTTGTTGTCATTGTTCATCAGTACATATCATTAATTATGTTTGAAAAGTAAGAATGAAACTAAATTAAAGATGTAAATACAGCAATGTTCATAATAAAACATTTGGTATGATTTTGTTTTCTTTATTGAGCAGACATAAATGTAACATTATTTAGAAATCCACAACTCTGTACAACAACAGTAATAACACACCTGTAACAACAAATAAGCAGGAAAAAACACACCTGAATTTTTTTTATACAAATTTTAAACCATTCTGATTAAGTAAGCAAATAAAAATATTTTTTTCATTTATCCCTAGAAAAAAATTAATACAGTACCTTTTTAAGTAAACATCTGAAAAATAAAAAACAATCAGATGCTGAAGAAGCAATTTAAAAATAGGTAATAAAAAACAAAATAGTGATTTTAAATTCAGTGTAGATTTAAATAAATAAAAAATTCTGTAATAGATCAATAAATATACCCCATTACCACAATAAACAAAATTTCTTGTTTTTACATATTTTAAGGCATTGTTTAATTAACAACACAATTTAAAATCATCTCTTAGCAAAAAATGAGCAAAATTGCAGTGTTTAATTAATACCCTTTTTTTGGCTTTTAAAACCACACCAAGATTGAAAACAAAGATTTGTAACTTTATATTCTACATATCTTAGAAATTATACATTGAAAGAAATATTATATTTGATCGCTTATGTATGCAAATATGCATGCATTTCCTTCATTTTATTTGGCAATGTTTTATTGGCCAATATTCTTTTAAAATTGTTTATAGGAATTTCATAAATACTATTTTTGTACCGAAGAAACTGGTTCAGCAGTTAAAAAATTGCTTATCATTTGAAAAAATTCAAATCAAATACTGGTTTGTTTATGCTAAGTAGCTCATTGTTAGTGTTTTTGAATTTTATTTTGAGCATCTGTATTATAGATTTTTGGATACACACTGAGATGATTTACTTTTAAACTTTATAAATATTTATAAACCATAAACATTAATGTATGAAGAACCATAATATTTACACTTTATGTACAAAGAAAATTACACTTTTAAAGTATAAAGAACATTATTGCTTTCAAGAACATTTTTTTACCCTTGATTTAACCTTTGAAACATTGAGCTTTTGCTTAAAAAAAAAAAAAAAAGCATTGAAGTTGTAGTAAGCATTTATAATGAAAAGGTTTTATTAATTATGAAAATGTTAGTATGGTGAATAAATATTTTATTAAAATATTTAAATCTTGGTTAATTTACTTTAAATAGTATGGCATGATAATGCATACTATCTTCATTTTAAAGCACAAAATGCTGCTATAAGCTTCAAATCCTGGGTAACAAATTTACAATCATAGAAACAAATTAATGTAGTTTTTAACAAGTGTACCACTCTTGTACACTTTAAATCAACAAGAGTAAACTTTTCATGAATAAAATTTTTTTACATTATTACCTTATTTAAAACTTTTTTTAAAGTTCACTAAGCTTCAAATTAAACTGCAAATTACCGTTGGAGAAGGATACCTAAAAATTTGAAACAAAATATTGATATTAGTGTCTGCATCAAATTTTTTTTTTTTGAAAAATAATTCATAGTACCCTTCAACTGCTACGGAATTTCCGTAGTTTCAGAAATCTTTTCAGACGGTAGCAAAATTAATGTCTTAATATTTAAAAAAAATTACTTTTCGCTTAACTTGTCCACTATTACTTATAAAAGTGCAGGCCATATGGCTAGATTTTTAAGTTCTGATAAAAGTTTTATGAGAGATCCATTTGCTTTAAAAATTTCTACTTTGGTTCGCTACGCTAGAAAGAATTATTTTCAAAATCCTCATAAGTTGGAGGGTATGGTACAATGTTTGCTTGATACAATGACCTTTGCTGACCAAATAAAAAGGGATATTGTAATGCAAGGTTTCTATACCATGAAAAAAATTAATATTAATTCTTATACATTTGTAGTGTTGCAGTACAGTTGGTGAAATATTGTGAATCTTTTAACTTAAAAAAAAAAAAAACTATTTTGTTCCTTGGATATCATAAAGAAAAATGATTAAATGAACAACAATCTTTGAGCAAAAACTAAGGCTACTTGAAATAAAATTCTTAAACGGGTTAAAGAAGAGATGAATCAGAAAATTTTTTCCAATAAGAAAAATATATTTGATAAATGCATGGGTTCTTTTTTTAAAAAATCACTAAGACTGTTAAAGTATCTTCTTATGAATGTATACGACATATTCAATTTCTACCACACACATTTCTACATAAAATGCAATCTTGTTGTTACTCATCCCCCTGGTATAGGAAAGCCTACACGAGGTCCAAGACCCTGTCGCCTGAGAATATCGTAAATCTTCTGCTCAACCAACAGCTGCCTCCAGGAGGCTCTTAACAATTAAGAAGGTGATCAGAACTAGCGGAAGGGAACAGAGCAAGGAGAAAAAATCTTCCCGTTCTAAAATTTAATCTTGCCATGGCTGATTGCGATGTCCTGGGGCCGCTGCATAATTGAGACAGGCCCGTATCAGTTATGAACTGCTGGGAGGAGCCAAGTTGAAAGTAAATTATTTTTGTGAAGTGAGTGGATTTCCGAAGGAGTTAGCTCAACAGAGTTGACGATCGGAAGATCACAACCATTTCTAGCAAGAAGATCTGCAATCTCATTACCATACACCCCAATGTGTGAAGGATTCCACTGGAAACATACAGATTTCCTCGGGCCTAGTTAGGAGAGAAGTACTGGAAAATTCTGGTCAGGTTTATCATATATTTTCGGCCAATTTTTTAGGTATTAGATGGCACTTTCAAAATCCAAATACTAATGTAATCTAGCAATAATTTCTGATCTAAAAACTGAGCAAAAGTCAGGGTTACGGATACTATATTTAATTTCCTCCGCGGAGCTGCTGATGAAAACACCACTCTCAGCTCAAATTTGCTGCCATCCATGTAGATAGCCAAACCCTCAGAAGGGATATTATTAATGACTTCTAGGACCAACTGTTTCAGAAGTTTAGGATGATCCTCCTGCTTACTATAGCACAGGATTTCAAATCATCATTGAAACTGATATTCTCAAATGATACTAACTAAAAGTCAACGATGGAACAATTTTAAAATTTATAAAACCATGTTTCACCACATGATCAAGCGGCGTGCCTCTCTATAAACGCTGGTTGCTTGTCCAATTTAAAATATATTTTGATGTCCTATTAAGATCACAAAAGCTCATCAATTTATAAAAATATCTAAAGAGTTAATCTGAAATATTTCGTATTTGAAGGTAAAATGTCAGGCTTGTAAAGAACCATTTCACTTGGGCAGCTGTTGTTTAACTCTGTGACAATTCTTGCTGCACTGAGTTGGGCTCTATCTAAAATATTTAAATTAGAGGCAGAGGCTGTCTGAAAAATTCTGGTAACCATACTCAAGAATGGGACGTACGAGAGCACTCTAAGTAACTTTAATAGTGGAAGCATCAGCTTTCTAGTTTCTACTGGAAGTGTACTTCATGATCTGTCCACAATGCAATATTTTTTTTATTCTTTATTATCAACACCGTGAAGTGCTTAATTTTCGTTACCTCCTTGATAGAGAATAAGAATTTAGTCCTTTGTGTCATTATCTTTTTACTGAAATCAAATAGTTTCTAATTTATCGCATAGTTACAACAATAGAAATAGTGGTTCTTCTGATAATTTCTTTTCACATTTGCTGTTAAAAAACTTCACAAGGGAAATGGTGCTATGTGCAGTGGAAGTAATAGAATAACCTCCATAACGAAAGGGCGTAGGCCAGAGATAGAGAACCTTTTGGGATTAATGTGCCAGTTAAATTACAGTATATTTTCGGGTGTGTCAATTGATATTTATATTTTATGCACCACTTGTTATTTTTCTTTCTAAAAATTATCTTTGAACCATTATACTTTGATTTCAAACTATGAAATCAGAATCACACTGTGTAACTATATTTTCGTTACTACTGTGTGATTATTTGGTTATTAACTTGCTTCAATGGAAATCAAATAAACACAGTTTAAAAAGATTTCAGTTTCACATTAAGCTAAGATAAAAAATTTTAAAACGCACAAAAAAATTTAGGAAATTAATATTAGATATTTTAATGTTTAAACACACGAAAAATTATGTATATTAAGAGAATTCAAAGTATATAATTTATGGCCATTACTTATTTTTTTTTTTTTGTGTGCTTAAAAATGGAAACGCTTTAATTAAGTAAAATTTTTACTTTTGAAAATACATTTAAAAACATTTAGTGCATAACTTTTTCTGTAACATACACAATATTAAAATAAATCTCAATCAGGACGGTTTTTCACAGTCGTTGCTAAAAACTCATTGTTGAAACATCTGTTTACAAATTTGTAAATTTTTTAATAATTTCAAATTTAGTTTGAGTTTCTTTTTAGGTATGGTGGCACTAGCGTATTTTCTAAAAAAATTCATTCTTCCCTACGTTAGCTTTTATAGTTGAGGGTTACTATAATTATCTTTTCGCCCTGGAATAGCACCTGAAATCGAACTTGTTTTTAAATCCAATAATAATATCTGCAAGTGTTTGAGAGATTAAATTTTTAAATGTTGCTGTAGCAATTGAAAGTACTTTAATATGTCCCTCTCCTGTGCCACCAAAATACTTGCCATTTCTGGCGTAAGCTATATAAGTACTTTTTGATTTCAAATAAAAACAGTGTAACTAAATTTGGCACATTCAAAAACAACCATATAAATAAACTATTAATCAGTTTTTACTTTTTCTCACCAAGTTATTTTCAGAAATCAAAACATTAATGAAGAACAACATGAAAATACAGGTGACAGAAATTTGAGTTGAAAAATAAATATTTAAAATCACCGGGATTTGTGAAAGAGATTCTTGGTAAATAATGAAGATTCTAAATTGTAATTATACTATAATATATATATACTATGTATAAATAACACTATAATTTTAGTGGTTTAAAGTATTTTTTTTATTTATGTAGTAATGCTATTAAAAGAAGCGTTATTAACGAGAACATTATCGTGTTTCAAGATCATTCTTCTTTTTGTGCAATTTTTTTATGCTTAGTATGTTCTTTGACTTAATATATGCTATTTTAACATAATCTAATTCATTCTTTAACTTATTGCATACAATACTTATTTATCAAATTTACTTTTAATTAATCATTCCTACATGATTTTTTGTTGTTATTTTCGGTACTTAGATATGAAATATTTAGTTTAAAAACCAGCTCACTCGACCTTAATTCAGGTTTTTGTAAATTTTTAGCCTTTAATTACTTAAATTAAAACAACTCACTTTCTTTTTCTTTCCTTAAATTTATTTTAAATATTGCCATCAGAAAAATTTAAAAATAAAATAAACGGATTTGTTATATCTTTTATTATCAACATATAGGAATTTACTTTTAAATTATTCTTTGCAAGTTTAATTTTTTTCTTTAATTTAGTCTGGTAAAATTTTTAAAAATGGGGTTAATTTTATTTTAACACCAAATTTAAACTAAAAATATCACATATAAAATAGTTTTCACACTCATTTAAGAAAATAACTGATTAGTTATGTTCTTTAAATATAAAATATTTTTTTCATATCTTAAGTGTTTTTCTTTAACCTGCCACAAGATTCATTAAAAAAAATAAAAATAGTTACCACCACAAAAATACTTAAAAGAATAAAAAAGGAAAACTTTGAAAAGATTGCACTTAAAAGTTTGAAATGCATTTTAAAAATGTATCGTGTTTAAGAAAATATAGAACATTATGAGTTACTATTTACAAGCTAATTAAAAAGAAAAAGAAATTTCCATAAAATAAATAATACTATACAAGTCATTTTACAAACAGTTTGTTTTCAACATAATGTATGTTATTAGAATATCAACTTGCAAGCTTCGAGAGTTTTTTGACGAATTTCTCATGATCATACAGAGTAGCAATCAAACCCTTTTCATTTTTAAGAAGACTGGAATCGCCATATTCTATTTCTGAGCCATCTAACTGTGTCATTTTCCCGCCAACAGCATTCAGTAAAGCATGTCCAGGACAAATATCCCATTTTTTGATTAAAGTCGTATGAATATAAGCATCAGCGTTTCCTTCGATAACTTGTAATGATTTGTAACCTAAAAATAAAATGCAACATTAAAAACTAAACAATAATATCAACTATTTCTCTAACAGACTCATAAAAATGTTTACTGACAAGTTACATCACACATAAAATTATTAACAAATTTTATGTGTCTTGTCAGTTTGATACAACTTATCATTTGCATGATTAAGACTATCGCTCCCATTATCTATACATATAAAATAAAGAATTTTTGCATCTTCAAAGAGTTGTGGACAAATATTGATACTTATTGATACAGAATTTGGCATCAAGTTATTTAGAAGGATGGAGTTAATTATTTTCTTCCAATTTTAAAACTTTTTAGAATTTGTTTATTTGGTGTAATAAATTAAGAGAAATTGATTTTTATTCGTGAATTTTAATTAGATTTACCAAAATTGTATGCTACCATATGNACTGATCTGATCTCTAAAAAATCCTCTTTCCCATAAGAAACAGTCCTTTGCTCCACCCCCAATGTAGGGGACGACACATGCAGTGTCCTTCACCCTCTGACCCTCAGGTCAAGGGGTCGATCAAATGCGTGGGAGAGGAATCAGGATCCTGACAAGCACCTAGTAATTTTAATCTGAAATAGCGTTTTTCTATTCTTTCAAATTATAAATTTTATAGTTTACATTTGCCTTTTATTTCAGACAAACACAGTTTTCATGAAAAGAGAGTTTTGATAATTTAATAATATGCAACATGATTTCAGGCGTAAGATAAGAGTTTTTTTTTATGAGTAAAGTACTGATATTTCTTCAGTAAATCTTTCATAGTTTATAAGAAATGCTTGAGAAAAATGTAAATTTTGAGAAAAACAAACATCTATTACAATGCCCAACACTTTTTATGTAGCATAAATATTGATGATATAGGTATACTACATGTAGTAGATATTACAACATTTATTTATAATATTAAAATACTATTTAAAAAAAATTAAAAAAATACAGAATTCAAATTTTACCTTTTAGTTTAATTTTTGATTACATACTTAATACAATAATCATGAAATATTCCTAACTAAATGAAACAGTATATTCAAAATAAATAAAAGATAACTAAATAATTCACCTGCTCCTCCAGCAGGTATAATTTCTGTGTCAGGACCAAAAGCAGTCTTAGCAACTTTCTCAACTTCTCCTGCGTGTGAGCGAGACACAATTATTCTAGGAGAGTTCTTTTGATCTCGCTTTCCACCTGAAGCATAATTTGGATCTGATATACCTTTTCCTACCCATCCCCAAACTGAAAGCAAACAGAAAAAACAACAATTAAATTTCAAACTAAAATCAAAAAAGAACAAGTTGGGACATGACAGTTTAGTGGTTAAACTGTTCTCTTTTATACTGTACACTAGGGGTGCACAACCTTTTTGAGTGAAGGGCCACTTGCACAGCAGGTTGGCTAACTTAAGGGCCGCACATGTATTTAGACATGTTAATGACAAATGTAGTAATGTTTATTTAAACATTAGCACTCCATTTTTTTTATCAATAAACTTAGTAATATCAATAACTTAGTAGTGTTCCATTATTAGAATTCATTCAAAAATAAAAAAAACTTATAGTTTTTTTTTACAAAAAAAACAAAACAAAAAAACTTGCTATTTTTATCACGAGAACAATAGATTTATCAAAATAAATAAACATTGAAGAAAAGAAATGTTTTTTTTTTCATATCATGCAATACAAAAATTCATTTTAGAATTAAATTCTAATAAATAAAAAAAAAAACTGCAATGTCCACAGAATGAAAGCAGGAAAAAGTTTAGTCATAATTAAGTAATATAAATTCCAATTAAATATTTTAATTGAAGAAAATTTATAGCTTTTAAACAAAAGCCTAAAATAAAAACAAAACTGTGATAATTCAAAATAAAATTCAATGTTTATTTTGCAATGTACTTTATTATTTTATTTTATTAATTATTAGATTTTTTTATGTCGTAAACATTTTCCTTTCTTTTATCGAAAAAGATCACTTAAGCAACAAAAAATTGAAATCTAAACTACAAACAGTGAGCAGTTTAAAAATTCACGTTTTCCGCCATTTTATGAATTTCTCAAGTTGCAATAACATTGCATTTAAATTAGGGAGGGATGTAAAGAGTATTTGGCCCTTCTGTGAAAAATTCAGTTGGTTGAATGATCAGTCAAATATTCGGCAGAATATTTTTTAGAAATGTATTTTTCTAAGTTTCTTTTTTATTTTTGAATTTTTATAGATATGACTTTTTTTTTTTTTTAAATTATAATCAGACAAGTCAATTTTGTCATTTTTTCAATACTTTGAGAATTGAGAAGGATTTTTTTCCATTTTTTGCTTTTTTTTATTATAACCCAGCATTTTAACAGAACGTCTCATACTATTAATTTATTATCACTCTGTTCCTGTACTGTAATATAAATAACCAGTCACATAGAAAAGTGCGATTTTCAGTATTAAAGTTTTATTTCAGGAACTAAGAAAAATTTCTTTTTTCTGTTTTTCTTTTTTTAGGCATTTTTATTACGACTCAGCATTTTTTTTAAAAATAAAGTTACTGATAAAATTTATTTCATAGCAATTTTTTTTCTTCTACAATTATGGCAATGAGAAAAATTTAAATTGAGATTTTCGGCATAAGATTTTCCTTTAAAAAACTAAGAACGTTTTTTCTATCTTTTTATTTTCTTTAAATTAAAAAAAAACAACTTTTTTTAGACATTTTCATTATAACGCAGTAATTTTTAATAGCATTTCTGTTGACTTAATTCTTTTTTCTTGGCTTTTTCTGGTAATTGAAAAACTGAGATGTTCAGCTTTAAAAATTTTTTACAAAAATTAATATTGATTTTTATGTTCTGTATTTCGCTTTTCGACATTTTGAAAAACGTTCTTGATTGGCCTTATTTTTTAGAGTTAATTTATGAATACGTTTTTCCAGGAAATATTATTCTGAGCATTGAAATTTTAGTTTCAGTGTTGCTATGCTGCTAAAAGATTTTGCTATTTAGCCCCAAGTGTACAGCGTTCAGTCGATTTTTTCTTCTTTTTTTTGCCGAATATTTAGTTTTTGATCAAATCACAATTCATTACCGCATTCAACCAAATCATATTCGTTGCGGAAATAAAAACGAAGAAAAAATAACTAGGATTTACGATAAAACTGTACTGAAATACCGTATCAAAAAGTAATTATTTAATTGCACAATTAACAATCACGTGTCGTAATAACATCATAGTTAAATAACGGGATTGTCAAAATCATGTGGAAAAGTATAGTAATAATTGGGAAAAAATATATTTATGCTGAACTCAGCACGAATAAAGTGTGTCAAATGCATGATTTAAAATTTGCATGTCGTAATAGAATAATTGGAATTTTTTATAATACAGAGGAACGCATAGCAATAACTGCCAAAAAAAATTGTTGAAAAAAAAGAAAGAACTGCAAAAAAAAGATAAAAAATCACTTAGATTTAAGAAGAAATCATCACAAATAAAGTGCACAAAAAGTGATTATTTAAATTTGCGATTTAAAACTCGCGTCGCAATAAAAATTCGGGATTTTCGAAATCACGTAGAAAAGCGGAAGTAACTGTTTTTTTTTTAAAAAAAAATTCTATTTACGATATAATCGGCTTAAAGAAAGCGCGTTAAACGTACATTTACTAAAGAATCTGTTAAAATTGATTGTGTCAAATGTGATGACTTAAAAGTGCGATTAAAAATTGCCATTTTTAATTTTTTTTTTTATTGTGTTTAGAAGCGCTCGCAAGCTGCATTTAAAGGGCCGCAGGTTGTGCATCCCTATTCTAAGAAATTGTTTAAAATTACACTAATTTCAGAAAAATAAAAGTATCAATATAAGTAAAATGTTAGATACATTAACTAAAATTATTTTAAGCTCAACAGAAAATTTTATAACCATTAATTTCCCCCCTTTTTTTAAAACTTTATGTACATTAAGTAAAGTAGCATTTTAATAACGCAAGCATACAAAGCACTAGTAGCAACAATAAAGTATGAAAAGCAACTACAATTTAAAATAAAATAATAATAAAAAATATTTCTGTTAGTTAAAATCTAAATTATGTACAAAATATATGACTGATTTATGAAATTTCCATTTGCTTCAATTATTTAACTTAAGCATGCAACACATGACCTTCGCTATTTATACTAAAATTCAGTTGCCTGCGAGCATGTAGAAATACACTTATATCTTAACTGACTGGCAACAAGAAAAAATATATTTCAAAAGTAAATTTCATTGCAGAAAATATTAATACCTGTGCTATTTTCAAATGGTTTATGAATGACACCAATTATGGGTTTTCCTTTTATTGCAATACAAACCATAGTAGTAACATACTGCAAGAGGTTTTCTGGAATTGGATGAAAAATATTTTTAGACAAAAGAAAGTGTGATGACAAAAAGAATTTAAAGTGTGAATTGAATATACCTGTATATTCTTGAGTGGCATCTAATGGATCAATCCATACTAAAATATCTTTCGCTGGCACCACAATATCGGTTAAAAATTTATCAACAGGTGTCCAAGGTGGAGGTGGATGATTTATATCAAGAAATTTAATGTCACTATCATCATGCTCTTCAGATACAATCTATAAAACATTAACAAACATGAGGATGTCAGCAAAAAAGGAGGTAAAACGATTACTAATGTAATTTTCACAAAATGCTTATAACATTGGAATAAAATGGTCAGTATATAAATGAATTACAAATTGGAGTCTTTAATAAGTATAGAGAAGAGTGAATAGAAAGAAATCCCCAGTATGAATTATTGTGAAGTTTTTTAATAAGACACCTTTTAAATAAAGATGGAGGTTGATAATCATTTTTGATTGAACATGTGCAATGAAAAATTTACTGCATATCAAGGAGCATAAGTTGACCCCNATTATCTAAAATTAAGATTTACATTATCACTCTTTCCCTGTACTGTAATATAAATAACCAGTCACATAGAAAAGTGTGATTTTCAGTATTAAAGTTTTATTTCAGGAACTACGAAAAATTTCTTTTTTCTGTTTTTCTTTTTTTAGGCATTTTTATTACAACTCAACATTTTTTTTAAAAATAAAGTTACTGATAAAATTTTTTTCATAGCAATTTTTTTTCTTCTACAATTATGGCAATGAGAAAAATTTTAATTGAGATTTTCGGCATAAGATTTTCCTTTAAAAAATTAAGAACGTTTTTTCTATCTTTTTATTTTCTTTAAATTAAAAAAAAAACACTTTTTTTAGACATTTTCATTATAAAGCAGTAATTTTTAATAGCATTTCTGTTGACTTAATTCTTTTTTCTTGGCTTTTTCTGGTAATTGAAAAACTGAGATATTCAGCTTTAAAAAATTTTTTCAAAAAATAATATTGATTTTTATGTTCTGTATTTCGCTTTTCGACATTTTCAAAAACGTTCTTGATTGGCCTTATTTTTCAGAGTTAATTTATGAATACGTTTTTCCAGGAAATATTATTCTGAGCATTGAAATTTTAGTTTCAGTGTTGCTATGCTGCTAAAAGATTTTGCTATTTGGCCCCAAGTGTACGGCGTTCAGTCGATTTTTTCTTCTTTCTTTTGCCGAATATTTAGTTTTTGATCAAATCACAATTCATTACCACATTCGACCAAATCATATTCGTTGCAAAAATAAAAACACAGAAAAAATAACTAGGATTTACAATAAAACTATACCAAAATACCGTATCAAAAAGTGATTATTTAATTGCACAATTAAAAATCATGTGTCGTAATAACATCATAGTTAAATAACGGGATCGTCAAAATCATGTGGAAAAGTATAGAAATAATTGGGAAAAAATATATTTATGCTGAACTCAGCACGAATAAAGTGTGTCAAATGCATGATTTAAAATTTGCATTTCATAATAGAATAATTAGAATTTTTTATAATATGTGGGAACGCATAGCAATAACTGCCGAAAAAAATTGTTGAAAAAAAAGAAAGAACTGCAAAAAAAGATAAAAAATCACTTAGATTTAAGAAGAAATCATCACAAATAAAGTGCACAAAAAGTGATTATTTAAATTTGCGATCTAAAACTCACGTCGAAATAAAAATTCGGGATTTTCGAAATCACGTAGAAAAGCGGAAGTAACTGTTTAAAAATTTTTTTTATATTTACGATAAAATTGGCTTAAATAAAGCACGTTAAATGTACATTTACTAGAGAATCTGTTCAAATTGATTGTGTCAAATGTGATGACTTAAAAGTGCGATTAAAAATTGCCATTTTTAAATTTTTTTTTTATTGTGTTTAGAAGCGCTCACAAGTTGCATTTAAAGGGCCGCAGGTTGTGCACCCCTATTCTAAGAAATTGTTTAAAATTACACTAATTTCAGAAAAATAAAAGTATCAATATAAGTAAAATGTTAGATACATTAACTAAAATTATTTTAAGCTCAACAGAAAATTTTATAACCATTAATTTCCCCCCTTTTTTTAAAACTTTATGTACATTAAGTAAAGTAGCATTTTAATAACGCAAGCATACAAAGCACTAGTAGCAACAATAAAGTATGAAAAGCAACTACAATTTAAAATAAAATAATAATAAAAAATATTTCTGTTAGTTAAAATCTAAATTATGTACAAAATATATGACTGATTTATGAAATTTCCATTTGCTTCAATTATTTAACTTAAGCATGCAACACATGACCTTCGCTATTTATACTAAAATTCAGTTGCCTGCGAGCATGTAGAAATACACTTATATCTTAACTGACTGGCAACAAGAAAAAATATATTTCAAAAGTAAATTTCATTGCAGAAAATATTAATACCTGTGCTATTTTCAAATGGTTTATGAATGACACCAATTATGGGTTTTCCTTTTATTGCAATACAAACCATAGTAGTAACATACTGCAAGAGGTTTTCTGGAATTGGATGAAAAATATTTTTAGACAAAAGAAAGTGTGATGACAAAAAGAATTTAAAGTGTGAATTGAATATACCTGTATATTCTTGAGTGGCATCTAATGGATCAATCCATACTAAAATATCTTTCGCTGGCACCACAATATCGGTTAAAAATTTATCAACAGGTGTCCAAGGTGGAGGTGGATGATTTATATCAAGAAATTTAATGTCACTATCATCATGCTCTTCAGATACAATCTATAAAACATTAACAAACATGAGGATGTCAGCAAAAAAGGAGGTAAAACGATTACTAATGTAATTTTCACAAAATGCTTATAACATTGGAATAAAATGGTCAGTATATAAATGAATTACAAATTGGAGTCTTTAATAAGTATAGAGAAGAGTGAATAGAAAGAAATCCCCAGTATGAATTATTGTGAAGTTTTTTAATAAGACACCTTTTAAATAAAGATGGAGGTTGATAATCATTTTTGATTGAACATGTGCAATGAAAAATTTACTGCATATCAAGGAGCATAAGTTGACCCCCATATTTATAATTACGAGAAAACAAATTTCTGGTATGTTAAATGTATAAGTGAACTACTGAAAAAACCAAATAAAAAAAATTCTAAAATTAAAGATAAACAAAAAATATTTCAGTGAATAAAATTTTCTCAAATTAAAACTATTTTACACAGTTCTTCATGTATACAGGGTATCTGCTACATTTTAGATTTTCAAATTCACGACTTTTCATGATTTTCCATGACTAATTCCAAGAATTTTTCATGACTTAACGAAGTTGCTATTTTTTCCAACAAAAACGCAACAATAAATTAAAAAAACATTATAATAACATTATTCGAAATAGGTTTAACCAAAACTATTATACTCTTCATACTTATAGATTTCAAACTTAAAAAACAGAGTAAGGAAAGAGTTGAAACAATAAAATAGCTGAAAAAAATACAAAAGCAAAAATTTTTTATTTCTGCAGAATTATATTCTAAAGATACTTTTCTTGTTCATCAGAAAGGAAAGAAATACTCCTGATTTTTCTGTTCATTTCGGAATAAAAAAAATTTGCCAATAACTGGTTTGCTTCAACTACAATTTTAAATTGATAAAATTAAAAAAAAAATAATAATAAAAATTCTTAAATCACAGAAGAGAGTTTAAAGGATAATTCACTCTAGAAATGATATTTTTTCTTTCATTTTTTGAAAGAACACCATAATTTTTAAAGAACATGATAAAATCATTTTATATTCAAATAAAATATGACTGAGTGGTGATTTTGTTAGAAATTCAGATATTTGGAACAGGATGAAATAGATGGAGATTCCATTTTAAAAATTAGATTTTTCGGAGACCTAAATCCATGACTTCCCATGATTTTTTTTTTAAAAAATAGTAAAAATCATGACATTTCATGACAAATTTTGTTCAATACCGAAATTCATGACTTTCCAGGTGCGTGGATACCCTGTGTATATGATACATTTCTCTTAAATAAAGATGTAGTAACAAATACTGTGAACTGAGCAGTTAATCAGGTTTATCTTACACCATGTGATGTCACTTGAAGGTCGGCATTATTCTAATCTTTACTCTTCTTATTCTATTTGAAACCTAATTTAAAGCATTGTTTCCATACAAAAAAAAAATCCCTTAATAAAGAAAATATACAGGGTTTCCACTCAATTTTAGGAAGAAAAAAAATTCTCTGACTTTTCCAGGTATATAGGGTAAATTTCAATGGAAATCCATACCATATTTTATCGATACCATGCAAAATTCCATCAGAAAACTTTGATTTTTTTATTGGAATGTCGAATATTAGATTTTGTAAGAAAAAATATATAATAGAATGAGAATGGAAAAGTTTCTCTAAAAAGTGGAATTTTATAAAATAACTGTATTAGATGTTAAAATTATTTAACTTGAATCTTAATAACTGATTACTGTTACTGACAATTCTAAGACTGGTTTCCAGGTATAATATATGAATTTTTCATATTTTTTTGTAAAACATTGCAACTTTCCCTGCTTTTCAGTGTTAAAATAAAATTCCCTGACAATTTCGTAAATATGAATTGTGATATTGGATATTAAAAACGCAAAAATACAAATTTCAATATTGAAATCGCTTAAATGCGAATCACAATGGATAATCTTTAGATAGCTGGATCTATCTCATTGTACATATAGCTGCCAACTTGTTAAAAATAGGAACACAAAGCATGATAAGCCAATCAGAGGTGATTGTGACACAAAGCAAACATATTGTTTTTTAAACTTTTGAAAGTTTAAAATTCCTTAGATACCTTGGAGATTGTAGGTGGATAGAGACCACAAAAGTATCTCAAGAGTGGAGAGGGTATGTTCCTCTCTGTGTATATATACAGTGCACTCCCGATTAATCACCAGGACAGGTCGCACGGATAATCAAAAAACATGGATAATCCGAAAGCTCCTTTTATTAAAGAAAAATTCAATATCAGTACAAAAAATATAAAACTTACTGACATTTGAATACATAACATCAAACTAGGTATTTTCCTTATTAAAAAATGTGTAATGCGTCTTCGCCATATATCGATACACATCTGATATTAGTATCAAAGTTGTCATTTGAACCCAAAAATTATAAAAAATTACTAAAGTNTCAAATCCTCCCATATAATCTAATAAAGTTTCCACAGAGCAGCAGAATGAGAAATTGTATTTCATTCATTTACTACATCTTCTGCATCAGTTACTATCATCACTATTTAATTTAACAACATAGCGATGTCTTCATTAGTCAAATACTGGAAGCCAGGCTCACATGCATCACTTTGAAACCAATCTTCTAAATTTTCTTCATCAAGAATTTCGAAACTTAGATTTCTTTTGCTTGTTCGAGAATTCTGTTATCATATTTTTCTTGAACATCTGAAGAAGATTGTTCATCAAGCGGTATGATCTTTCTCCAAGATCGTGATAACGTAGACGATTTTAACCTTGACCAGGCTGCTGATATTGCATATAATTCAATCCAATAACGAATATTGCTTCCAAAAATTAGGTAGTGTTATAACTTCATGAATCAAATTTTTTAATCTTGAAAATGTTTCTCTTTATATTTTTTGTGTGACTCCGGAATGAGCACGGATAATCCGCAAACCAGATAATCCGCGCAGGGATAATCGAGAGTGTACTGTAGTATTAACTGAATTATTATATAGTATTCGCCTGAATTATCTAAATCTTACAAAATGGTAATTGAGAATTCGAACTTGAAATTTTAACTTTATGGTTTGAAATATTTTAAAATTAAAGATTTTTTTTACTAGTAAATTATTTACCTCTCTTCCTATGGTATTTTTAAATTTTTTTTATACTGTTTAACTTTTTTAAAAATTCTGTTTGGTGTGACATTTGAAACCATCACTTTCCCTATCTATCAGCAATAGGGACGTATATTTCCTCAGTGAGAGGATGAGTAAGTAAGGGATGATTTTGTTTGAAACAGTTTTCACTAAGGAAATGATTAAGCTCGCTTGAAATTGTGAAATTTTTTTCAGAAAGTCCTTATTTCAACTTTTCTTTAGACATTAAAAAATTAATTTTTTTTAATTGTAAATTTAATTGCACAAATATTGAGTGGAAAATTGTAATCTTAAAAGGGGTTGCGTCCCTTCAATTATTTAATGTGAGGGGAATGAAGCCCTCTCGACCCCCAGATACATGAACCCTGTAGGTGACATGAACAGATGCTGATATATGAATTCAACCATTTTCTTTAATATTTTTCTTTTTTTCTCAAAAAAATAGTTGAATTTACTTGCACTTGGCTAACAGAAAAGTTTCTATAAGAGCTTTTATGCATTCAAAATGGGAAGCAGACTTATGGTTTTTTTAAGGCATTAAATGTAGTAATAAACAAAAGCAAAGTGGTAAAAAGCAAAAATATCCCACCCTTTCATACATTTGGACTAAAGATTATGAAACTTGTAATCTGCATTACAGATTTTTTTTTTTTGGTGATACAATTTATTTCGGTGAATGATTACATAATTATCTTAAAACTTTTACAAATATTTAGCATACGAATAATTCTGACAGGTAAAAAATATTCTGACCACCAAATTTCTGAAAGAGAAAATTAAAGTCAAAATATTAATGAAAGTCATTTATTAGTAAGCTTTTTAAACATAGTAAATTATATCAATAGTGAAGCTATCAACACTATGAATTTATGTTTTTCCAAAGAATAAAAGTTTTTTAGAACTGTATGAATCACCTCCACACTGGGAAAAGAATTTTTGAGTGTGTAGAGCATTGCTTTGTGTGATAGCAGATCTCCATATGTAACAGGATCATTAGCTCCTTCTTTAGTTTTTCCTTTACTCTTCTGCTTAATATCTTCACTTCTACGAATTTCTTTAACTTTTAGTCCACCTAATTCCGCAGCAGTTACACTGATAGACAGCATATGTTTTAAACTTACAACAGATAAGTCTGAAGTTTTATCAACGGAACCGGTATATAAATAAACTAAAAAAACTATTAAAGCACATAATACAAAAGCACCTAAAGGATTTATTCTAATAAACGGTAAATTCATTTTTTTAGGAGAACATACAAATATTTAGATTTAACTTTGAAGAGGTGTAGTTATTTTAATTTGAGAGAAAAACCAACGAGAAAAACTTTTATTTGTAAACATAAGAGAAGTAAAAGTGAACAAATTCTACGACCGGGTGGTATCCTGACTATAAGTTTAAAAGTTTGTTTAGTTGGTGTTTGTAATAGGAAAAAATCTCATTTATTAGCATCTAAAAATGAAAATATTTCAACTCAACGAGTTCAAAACAATTGAAAAGAGTTGAAAGAGGGTAATTTCGAATCTTCTTCAAAAGATTAATTGTCTTTTCCTGCCTTTTGTTTTAGGAAGTTAAAAACTTTATAGACAAATTGTTGGCAATACCTGGAGTGATAATGGAAGAACTTCTGTTTGTTATGATTGCAAAATAGATTCGGATTTGATACTTAAGCGAAATTTTAACAATATTTTGATATGTTCATTAATTTATTTACATCGGACATGTCAATGAAATTACACAGATTGATTGATTTAAGCATAATCATTCACTAGTAACTTTTAAAAATTACTTTTAAAGATGGCGTCGATGCATGTAAGAAAATTCATTTTACAGATGTTGACACTTGAACTGTATACAATAGCTGTGTATATTCTATTAATGTTTAAACGTATTCTGTTATTTGACAAAAAAAATTCTAATTTTTTAAGTCAATACGACTTAAAATTTTATGGCTTAATTTATTTTGTCATAATGCAGTAAAACTTTCTGTTTGTGTGTTGCTTTTTCCGAACTACCTATAAATATTCCGTGTTTCCCTGAAAATCTAAAAAATGATCTTATTTAGTTTTTGAAAACTATTATTATCATTTATGAGCTTGAACTTCTACTTCTGTAAAAGCACAAAACAGTGTAAAGCAGCGGATGCCTAATTTAGATGCCTTTTTCGCGCATCGGAGAGGAAAGAAATTTTCATGATTTTTCTATTCTTATTTGAGAAGAATGAAATAAAAATATTCTTTTATGCAGAAATGTTAGAAAGATTTTTTTTTTTCATAATTATATACAAAAGTCGCCTTTTTCGAGCATCAGATGGAAAGAAATGCTCGTGATTTTTCAATTCTTATTTAGGAATAATAAATAATAAAAAAACTTTTTTTCTATCGAGATTTTCAAAAGATTTTTTTTTCTCCTGGATAATAATATAACAAAACTTTTGTTTCATTTTTCAAAACATTCCATTCACGTGCATCGGTAGGAAAGGAAATGCTCGTGATTTTTTGATTCCTATTTAAGAATAAAGAAAATTGATGATGACTGGTTTCAGCTAGAATTTAAATAAAAAAACTGAAGGAAAAAAAAAACAAAAAAAAAAAGCTGAAATCCCAGAAGTTGAAAAGATAGTTTTGTTCTGGAAATCCTGTTCTTTTATTCATTCAAGTACACCATGTTTTACATTTTAATAAAATTTGACGGTGTATGGAGACTTTGTTACAAATTCAGATTTGTAGCAAAATAATGTCCTACTTTTTTTAAAAATTTGGTTGAAATAAATGCAAGCTTTAAAAAACCTTTTATTCTGAATATTTTAAAGTACATCACTGTTAAAAATGTTAGCAGTTTCTTGTCCAAAACATTAGTTTTAGTTTGCTGGCCTAATATAAATTGCATTGTATTGTTTTTTCCCCGTAGACTAGTTAAATTTTTCAACATTTATTTTCAGAAAAGACTGCAAAAGGAGCTTTTAGCTATACAGAAAGAACCACCTCCTGGTGTCAAAGTCAATCCTGAAAACATTGGACCAACTTTAACTCAGTATGCTGCATATATATTATTTATGTTTACAGTACATTATCAAAAAGAAAAGTTTTTTGCACTACAAAAGTTCTTAAGTTCTCCCTAGGAATTAAAAAGGGCAGGGTGCTTCCTCAAAGAAAAGCGCACTCTGAGTTTTGAAAGGACACTCACTAACCACCGTTACAATTTATCAATTGTGTAATGTTAAATTGAAGGATCATTAACTATGTTGCTATTAAGCAAAAATTTTAAGCATCATATTTACTGTTTAGATTTGAAGATTATTGAAATGCTGTTTTAAAGTTATTTGATGTCGGAAGTCTTGAATTTAATTAAAATTTTCAATTCAATATTAGTTTGTGGAAATATTTACAAATCGATGCTAATTATTTTTAATGTCACAATAATTATCATAGTTTTCTAAGTGTTGATTTAAACTATTATGAATTGTACAGTGCTCTATTAATAATATTGTACTAAAAATTGTTAAAACTATCTTTTTTAAACAATCACTCTCAGCTTAAACATAGTTTATTTTATTATTCTCCTTAGATACAATTTACCTTTAATATTAATACAATTTGCATATGTAGAGTAAATGTTTTTTTTTTTTTAGTTTGTTATTTGCTCTTTTTGAAAGAAGTCAGGTATATGTATACTGTTTTCAAAATTTTTCTAATTTTTCTTAAAAGAATGTTGTTCCATTTTTTTCGGGGGGGGGGGGGGGCACTAAGAGACCTTGAACAAAATTTGCTAATGTTAAAAGATTGAAATGTATTAAACCAAAGTGTTGTAAAGTGATAGCATTATGTTTTTTTTTTCGATATAATTGATGTGTTTGATGCAATCGATTGTTTATTATGGATAATCATAATATGAATGCCAGTGTTTGACAAGTGAAAGACATTGTATGAAATGAGCAATATAACTGGAGACTTGTTAGTTGGCTAGATTGAGATCTAAATAGGCTGCTTCTCTGAAAATTTTTTTTTTTTTTTTTTGCATTACATTGTTTGAGTCTTTTTATATTTAATCCTTTGCATTTATAAATAATTAGTTTTATTGGTTATACATGTAACAGAGTCCTTTTCTTTTTAACTTTATTAAGATGGACTGTTGATATGGAGGGAGCAGTTGGTACTCTTTATGAAGGAGAAAAATTTCAGTTGCTGTTTAAGTTCACAACCAAGTATCCATTTGATTCTCCAGAGGTAAGAAAGTTTAAATACTCATTTTGAAAAATCTTTGTAAATTGCAAATATGCAATGAATTTATAATCTTTGTTTAATCATGTGTAATCTTCCTATCCAATTGAAATTATTGAATAATTAGCTTTTTTTTGTTGTAAAATATTATGGACAAGTTATAATTTACTTGTTTTATTTAGTTTTTGAAGAAAAATAAGGTTCTATTTGTAAGATAATTTTTTCTACAAATGTTTTGTTTTGAGTTAAATATATTTTATAAATTTTTTTTAATCTATATAAAAGTGTAGAAAAATGCTGTAGTGTGCTGTTTTGATTTTCAGTTTCATATTTTGGTCTGTGTTTCTGTTACAAAATAGCATATTTCACCATAATTGTCAACGTTACACATTCTCTATATTGTACTTTTTTATACTATATTGTACTTTATTATATTTTTTATAAGAAAAAAATTATGTACTCAGGGGTCTGTTCAAGCCAAATTTACTACCGTTTAGCGGTACTTTCACAAATTAAACTTTATTCACAAAATACTTTTTCTTAACATTTTATTTTTGTGCCTCGTAAGAAACGACAAATTGATATTTTTACCATATTTTTGTGTTGATTTTTTAATATAATTTTTAATTTTCACAAATTATGTCTAAATTTTCACAAAATTGGTACCTCTGAGAAAAACCTAGACAGACCCCTGGTACTATTAATAAATATCTTTTGATTATTGGCCCTTAGGGATAGTAACTGAACTTTTTTACTTTCTATCTCTGAATATGCATAATGTGTATTGAAGTAGTCACAAAATCCAATTCTTTGTAAAATATTAAATTATTTTCCTTTCCAATTGACATTATTTATAAATTTTTTTTTAAAAGAACGTTTAATCCAAAATAGTAAAATTATTATAATTAGTTACTATTGATTATCATTCATTATTATTGATTATTATTATTTTTTGTATCAATTTGTGATGTTGATGTTACTATTGTAACTATTTATTATTGCTACTATTTAATCAAATTTAAATTTATTATGAAAAATTATTATTGTAAATTTATAGTATTTATAAAGCTGCATAGAATTTTTTTATATAATCTGTTCTTGGTTTCATAAATTTATAATTTCCTTACATTTTTTTAAAAAAAATTATTGGATTAGAAGTTATTTAATGAATATATTTAATGAATATAGATATTTTTCCAGGTTACTTTCATAGGACCAAACATTCCTGTACATCCTCATGTATATAGTAATGGGCACATTTGTTTATCTATTTTAACAGAAGATTGGTCTCCTGCTTTATCCGTTCAATCTGTGTGCCTCAGTATAGTTTCTATGCTTTCCAGTTGTAAAGAAAAAGTAAAAATCTATGTATTTTATTGTTAATCTTAACTTTTTGTAATTTCTTTAATGATTTATGTACAAATGGTTATTTATTATTTAAATTCCAATTTCTTTCATCAATGTTTTTCCCCCCTTCAAAACATGCTTATTGACAAATATAGTGTTGATGAGGTAATTGCCCTTATTCAATGCATTTTAGTCAATGTACCTTAAAAATATAATCTTTGGTTTGCTTCATTGTTAATTTACATAGTTTCAGTGCAGATACTCAAACTTTCAGAAAAATTTTTCATTTTAGCTGATTTCTCTACTTTCCTTTTAATTTATTTTCAATATGTTTAAATATTTGTATTGCAAAATTGCTGGTTTCTGAAAAAGCATTCCATTTTTTAAATATATTTATGGAGTTTTTTTAATCGGCGTTTAGTATTGATGTATTCAGAAATTCAGAAAAAGTTAAAGATCATTGAAGAAGTTGAAACTGGGAAATGATTCTAGCAGATAATTGATTTTTTTTCCAAAATAGCAATATTAAAGTTAGCTCAGGAAAGTTCAAGATTTGCAAAATATTTGCATTATAATTCAAATACAGGAAAAGATTTTTTTATCAGAAATTCCAATCATAAAAAAACATCACCATTACTGTAATATTATTTGTATGAAGCACTCATTGTATGAGTATGAAGCACTCAATGGGTATCACTATCAATGAGTATGAAGCACTCATTGATAAAAAATACCAAACAAACTCACAAAATCTCTTCAGCATAATAAAGTCATGACCAAAATAATACTATCTCTATTTATCTAAATCTTTCTTCTAGTTTAACTTACATTTTTAGATAAATTTTAGAGCAATCCTCATTTTAAAACCACTAAAACAGTTTAGAACAGTAATTTATATTTATATATATATATGTTGATGAATCTGTGCTCAATACAATAACAATATTGAGTTGATGAATACAATATAAATTTAAGACAATAAGAAGAACTGATAGCATAAATAAGAGAAAAATAGCCGAGCAATGCTTCCAAGGTTATGGTTAGATATGAACCTTCGACTTCTACATTACACAGCATTTGATGGAAAGGCAAACTATAGGCGCACTCTGTTTATTTATCTCCAGAAAGTTCTGGAAGGGTGAACTACTAAAAAGTATCTAAATGAGAAGATTACTTTATAGTTCTCATAGAGAATCCATTAGAAATGAACTATGCCATTCAAATCTTAACTAAAAATAATGCAATATATGAAAACTAAAGTAAAAGTATAAAATAAGGAATGATAAAGTAAGGTAGAGAATGTATGATGAACAACTTAAGTTTATCATTTAATTAAATTTGAGAAGGAGCAGTTTAGTTCCTCTGATTAGAATTTTTACCTTCTTGATTTTAATTTTTATCTTTGTAATTTTCTCATTTATCTTTGAAATGTGTCGAAATAAATGATATGGTTGGGTTATTTTAATTGTAAAATATTGGAAAAAGTTTATTTTATTTTGAAAGTACATAAAGGCATAGTATGTTATTTTTTAAACAAATGCAAATTTACACTTTTTTTTGTGTGCATATCTTACAGTATCAAATGTATTAATACTTATATATTTTTAACAAAACGGCCTTATTTTAGAAACGGCCACCTGACAATACTCTATATGTCAAGACCTGTAGTAAAAACCCTAAGAAAACTAGATGGTGGTATCATGGTAACTATTTATTTTATAATAGTTTTCTTTCTTTGTATTTTTCTTATTTTCATGCTGTTATTTTCTTTTTTTCTGACATTTTCCTTTAAGAGTGACTTTTTTAAAATTATATTTATGATCCATACATATAATTTTAAATTTTTTATCCAATGTATTATTCAATGATTTTTAAATGTATAAGTATTTAATTTAATATTAATCTATAAATTCATTAATAAAAACCTTACTCTTAGGAGAATGTAGTCAGCTTAGTTATAGTTATACCTTGATTTAAGGTAAATTTTTTTTAACGTTATGTTATAATATAAAGTAGGTAGTAATTTGAAATATTTTTGATAGCTGATTTCTTAAAGTCCTTAATTTTTTATTTATTTTTACTATCTTTGTTGGCCATGGTTTGACAAATACTAATGATTCAAACAAACTATTTGATTGTATGGACTGTGGCCTAGTTTTAATATATGTTTGAGCGGAGTTATCTCCTTCTGATATATATATATTTATATATATATTCATTCCAAATGTTTAAATTACGAAAAATAAATAATGGAAAGTTTTTTATATCTCTATCTTACCTACCTAAAATAGCTCATTGATCAAGTAATGTATAATTTCGGAGGAGGTTTTGTCCCTGTAACCCTCCTCAAAGCTATGCTATTGTATGTGGGGAATATTATGTGTTTTACTGAAGTAAATTTTTTTTTTAACACGGTAGACCAGCTTTCATCACGGTAAACTTATTCAGCCCCGTTTTTAGCAGATTGCTGTTATGTAGGATCATTCAGTTTTTTAATGTTTTATTTCTGTGTTGGGTATTTATTATTGTTTCATCTGGTGCTAGTTTTATCTTTTTTTGAATAGTTCTTTTGAGTTTTTTTTTTTTTTGAGTTTTGTATTGTGAGTTTAAATTGGTACAAAGTTGTTAAATGGTTTTAACTTATTTGTTACAAGTAAGGCATTTTGATAGAGTCATTTTGTTTTTAAAACCACTTTAAAATAAGAGCAGAAAATGTGATTTTTAATGAAAAGATTCTAAAAGCAATGGGATAATATAAAAAGCTTCTTCAGGCATTAGAATGCGACGATCATAATACAACTGTGCACGATGAATTGCTAAATATTTATTTAATATAATAGTTTTTAAAACTTAGTTTTATATAATTTTTTTCTTTTATGATTTGTATAAACTCATGTGGCAGATAGAATAATAAAACACAATTTGCATGTGATCATTATTAGACTTTAAGGGTACATATCTCAAAACTATTTAAGATTGAGTTAGACCATTACTCAAATTAGGCCTTAACATGTACTTGTAGAAACTGTTTGAAGCATTCATATTATTAGAGTTTAAAATATGGCGAGTGTTACTGATGGACTTAGTTTAAAAATTGTGTCAGTGATAAACAACTTATTTGTAAAAATTTTTGTATGGTCAACAGCATTTTAATTTTTTTAAAAAGTGTTTCTTCACTTTTGAAATAAAACAAAAAATAATGTTATATTTTCTGTTTTGCAGATGATTCTGTTTGACAGCTTGCAAATGGTAGAAATCTTTTAAATTTTGACACGCTTCTATGTATACAGAATACCAACAGTATGCATGTTCTCTTGCACCCTCTGTCCTAATGTGCAAGATATTAGAGATGTGAGATTAAATACAGTTTTGTAATTATATTATGTAAAGGCTTTTTTACTTCCAACTGTAAATTAACTATGTAAAATATAATAAGTCCTGTTTGTATGAGTATATTATTAACACTAAGGGCTGAAGCATAATTTGTGATACATTTTAGATTTTTAAAGTTTTAAATATACTTTATTTTCATTTATTTGCCTATTATTTGTGTTGTAGTCACTGGATTATTAAAGTGACTGTTTATGATAAAATGTGACAGAGAACATGACTTTTTATTTTCACTATATAGTTCATAATCATAAATAGAAGTTTTTGTCCATGGGTATCATTCTTTTTATGCAGTAATCAATTAAACGAAAATGGTTTTTCTTAAATTACTGAAGTAGCATGAATAAATTAATGACTTATGTGTTTAATAATAATATAAAGGAATTAAATGTATTCAAGTGAAACTAAAATCTCAAGTTTTAAACGTTATAAAACATGTGTTTAAATTTTACTTAGCTCCTAATTGTTTAAAATTTAAGGTAATGGTTAAATTTCAAGTGCATTTTTGTTTTCTGAATTGGTGTGTAAAAATTGTATATCAGTCTAAAATAATAAGGTCATGTTCTTTTATCATGTTGGTTGTGTATTATTTTTACTAATTTAACAATGAAATACAAAGTTTTAATCTCACTTATATTAAAAGTGTTTTATGACATAGATATACTTGCTATTTCCTATCATTAAGGTGATTTACGTTACAATGTGATTAAGTTAGATGTGATAGTGTAAGGTGATTATGTTAAAAAGGTATTTTAACTGCCTTAACTATACAATCAAGTAATATGCATTTGCTTTTTATTTTTTCTTCCCCATTGGATTGTTTAAAATTATGTATTCTCACATTTTGTTTTCATTTCACTTCATATCTGTGATGGTCAATTTAGAACTGATCCTGAGTACTTTAGAATTAATTAATTTCCAGTGTTCTATAACTTCAAATCCTAAGTTTTGAATGATATTATTATCGATGTTAATGCAGTTATTTTTTTTTATCTGAAATTGTACTAGCACAGGTTGTTTATTATTCCTTAGTGGACCATTTTTCTGTGTATGTATATATATTTATTGATTCAATGTTGGTAATTATTAGGTTGAAAATGCATTGAAAAATGTCTACACTCCTTGATTATTAATTTTTTTGCTGTAGGTACCTCTACAAGTCTCTTTAAAGTGTGTTTTTTAACCATAGGTGCGTTTAGTATTTTTAGAATGGTAGTACTTCTGAATGGCTAAAACTGTATGTGTGTGTTTTTTCAGACATTTATTACTTAGTTCAAAATGGCTGATACTACGCAATTTAAAACTAAGTTACAGTTATATTAAATGGAATACTTGCTGTACTTCTTGAAAAGTGCATTTAGTTTAAAACTAAAATTTCTTTCAAGTAACTTCTAAATTTGGAAAAATGCCAAATAATAGGATTTTCCAATCTAAAAATTCTCCTCTAATGGGATAATGTTAACCAAAAAAAGTTTTTTTATTTATGAATGTAATTATTAATTATTATAATATTATTTAGTTTAAAACTTGCTTAGTTTTAAGTTTAAAAAGATCAGTCTAACATAAAAACGGTACAAGGACTGAGCTCAAATCTTTCATAATTTTAATATTAAAAATGTGAATAATTTCACAGTTAGTTTATGCTTATTTAACAGAATTTATGCTTAACATTTTAAATATAATTTCATTTTTTCTTGTGAATTCAAATAAATAAATTAATAAGTAAATAAATAAATAGCTGCGATGGCTCAGTGTCCTTGTGAAGTACAGGGTCTTGATCTTTAGTGGTGATTTGAAACCCACACAGCTGATGATCAATATGTACAGTTTGTCTGGGAAGTGTTTGTGCACAATGCTGACCACATTGCTAAAAGCATGAGGCTGGTCACGAAATTCTAGAGTCTTAACTTCCATGACCTCCAAGAAATAATTTTACAACTTAACGAGAACATATCTAGATGTAAAATTTTTTTGAATGAGTGATTTTTAAATTAAAATACAACTTACACTCAAATATTTCTTTCAACTTTATTAAAAAGTTTATACTAGATGTTAAATGCATTTTAAAATGTGTGGATAAGGATTAAATACCCTTTTTTTAGTTACTTATTAAACTTTTTATTTTACAAAGACAGAGTCAGAATTGTGTAAAGAATGTAACATGATGCAATAACACCCTGAATTTACATAATTTCCCCCTCCATTTCTGATTATTATTTGCATTTTTGAATCCCTTTTTATTATGATGTTTGTTTAACGTAGAATCAATTTGCTAATTTTCAATGTATTCTAAATTGTATTTGATTGAAACTAACTTAAATTCATTATTTCTATTGCAATTTTTGATTTTTTCTTTTCTTTTTAAATTCTGTTAAAACTGTTACTACTTCATAACTAAACATTTTATACTAAGTTGATCTAAGCAAATGATATTAAATTTTGCTCATTTTCTTTTAACTACTGTTCAATTTTGTCAAATTTCTCTGTATCTATAACTTTTGGATAAAATATCACGTTTTCGTGCTATTACAGGTGAACCCCGATTATCCAATGCTCAATATGACACTCTTTGTTATTTAAAACTATTTTACTTCTGGCTTTCAAATAACTGTATTCAAAAAAGTTGTTTGAGAACTTATTAAAAAGACTTTTTAACCTATTTCATGATTACTCTTAATTGACAGTTGTTTGTGATGATACAGTGTAATGTGTCATTTTAATGTATAAATTTTATTAATCTAAGTCACAATGTGTTAGCCTTGAATCATGTTAAATGATTCATAAGTCTCTCGTAAATCACAAAGTATGTCAACAAATGATTTATTGTGTGTAGTTTGGTAATTTGAATGCATGACAATAAATCAGTCTCAATGTGTAATTCATATGTCACATGAAGATATCAGATTTGTAAATTGAAAAAAATAGAGATTTTGCATAGTGTTCCCTTTCCTATAGAGCACACAAACACGTAAATAAGTAAAATATATAAATCATTTTTAACACTAGAAAAACTGAAATACCTAGATTCCAAAAAGCAGTCAAAATAACTGCATTGTAAAAGAATAACTAATGTATAAAGAAATTTGCTTAAAATTAATTTTTAATATTATTTTCAGTTATATTACAAGTTATTAGTAAATATTAACAATCAAAAATTATATGTTTTACAAGAAGTCACAAAATTCTAAGAAATTGTGTCATCATTGTTTTTCTAATTGAAATTAAAGGATCAAAATGACTTCCTTGGGCAATCTAGTGAACTGTTACCTTTTAATTTCTCTAAAGCTCTACCTTTTTGCATTTCTACAGTTGCAGTTTCTTTCAGATCCATTTTAAAGAATTAAAGCTTGGTATCTATGAATACTGCCAATTAAATTCTAAATACCCTATGAGACTAGCAGCCATTTATTTTTGATAATTTTACTTATGTTTAAAAGTTAGTATGTTGGGGAAAGTGAAGTTAATAAAACACTTTTTATTATCTGGTTTTTATTTTTGAACATACTTTTGTTCCTTTTGATGTTGGGTAATCAAGGTTCGATTCTGTATTTTTACTCTTATATGTGCTTAAAGTGAATATATTTACCAAATATATTATGAAATTATCATTTAAATGAAATGATGGCATATCCATGTAAATAGATTAAGTGTTGATATTAAAGTATATAGGTAAAGTATTGATATGATTAAATTAAATATTTTATTTATTGCCTGCATTGTTTTGAGGAAAACGCTGATGCTTCATATTGTACATTTGTACCAATTTATGATTTATTTTTAAAATTTCTCTCTTTTTATTTATTTTACCTATTAGTAGCTTGCTTAAAATTAAATGCTATTACTGAAACAAGCTATTTTAAAGGTGTGCTTAACTTATGAAATTGTATAAGTATTGTGTTTAGGATAATAAATTAATCTTGTAGACTTGTTAGGAATAAAACATTGCACTTTTATGCTTGCTTTTAAATTAAAAGAATTCATAATCTAAAGTTTACACATAAAGTAACCCTAAACAAAAAATATTCTATGAAATGCTTTATTTAATTAATGTTAAAAAATTTCCTTCTCATGTTTTTAGCACATAAAATTGTTTCTCTTTTCAATGTTCTTAAATTTATATCCCTTTTTTTCACTTTCTAAGGAATAAGAAAGTTTATTGATTCAGCTCCTCTATTTCATTCTTGTTTGATATCTATTTTAAATTAAAATGCTTTGGCTAGCAAAACTTTCTAAACTTTAAAATATTTATTTTGATTATTTCATTGTTTATTTTGTTGCAATTAATATTTTTGATTCATAACAATATTGATGAGTTCAGTCCATGCAGAAAGACAAATATGAAATGTAAATTAAGAAAATAAATTTTAGTTTAAAGTTGTATTTAATTTCTTGTAGTTAAAAGAATTCACCAATGTACCCGTATTTTGGATACTGCAGTAAGTATTAAAAAACTTATATACTTTCTTTCATATCATTAAACAGGACAGCTTGCAGAGGAAGAAGAGTAAGAAGTAATCAATAAGTGAACTGAAACTTATAAATCTCTATTTTCCAAATTCATTCCAACATTATTAATAATTTTTTTACTCAACTTACATATAATCAGTGCAATTACAAAATTTAATAATAAGTTCAAAAATTTATTAATTGATTTTTGAGTAAAAAGTTAAATTATCTGTGCAATAGCACAAATATTACATTGTTTTAATTTTTATTTTTATTAATTTTTATTAATTCCTAGTCATGATATGCAGATGGATATTATCGTACTAAATTAAAGTTCTTCTGTATTTAATATATGTATTTAATAGTTTTCCAAATTCTCTCTGCTTTCATATAATCAGTGTAATTACGAAATTGTTTAATTCAAAAAGTTTATAATTGATTTTTGATTTGATGGTTAAATTATCTATGCAATAGCACAATATTATATTCCTTTTTTTCTAGCTTTATTAAATTTTTATGACTTTCTGGTCATGATATTCAAACGAAAATTAAATTTTTACTAAATTAAAGTTCCTATTTAATTTTGTTATTTAATTTCAAATATAAGTATGTTGGAAACGTTTGTGAATATGTCATTATAAAGTGCAGTGTTTTGGCTGGTTGCGTATTCATTTGCAGAAGTGGCTAGATCCTGCAATTTTATACCTTCAGCCTTTTATTTGAGATTTTTTTTTAGCATGGGGTTAATATCAAAAAGTTCGTGACCACCTGTCTTGAAGGAGAGTGTTCAGTGCAGAAATCCAGTTCTAAATAAGCTAAACCAAGATTGAAAATTTTGTAAGAGAATGTAAATTGGTCAGCAAAGCCGAGGAGTACATATACTTATAAGGTTTCTTTCTTACATAATTGTAATTGCATGTCTACTAAGATTAAATTTAAAAAAATGATAATTAGAAAAAAACTGCAGTCTGTTTAGAATTGAAATTTGTTGATATTTTTTCAGTTTGAATTAGATGAACTTTCCTCCCTTAAAATTGTAATATTTAATTTTTTTAAATTGTCTTCATGTTGCTGCTTTTTACAGTTGGATTGTTTAATTGTAACCAAACTATTGGTTATGTAATAAAACTAAGCCATTGGTTTTATGACATTCTTGTATAAAATTGAGATGGCTTCTTTTTTCTCTATCCCACTATCTTATTTGAAGATTGGGCCAATTCCATTTTTTTTAAATATATATATATATTTTAAAACGGAGTCTTACTTTCATGTTCATTCAAGCCATTTCGGTCTTATTTTGAAACTCATACACTTTAATTCTATTTCTGCTACTATAAAGAAGGCATAACAAATAAAACAATAAAGGGAAGGTTCTGTCTTAAAATGAACAAATATAGAATTGACTCTTTATTTAAATGAGGCCTTCACATTTCAGGCTTCAACTCTTTGAATAGTTTTAATTATAGTAAATAGGATATAATTTATTATTTTTTAAAATTGTAAATCTTGATTTGAATCCATCGATCAATTGAATTTCCAGTTTTTCTTATCTCTCTAAAATTGCCTCTAGCATCAATTAAGTTTTCAAGCAAGACTGACAGAAGTAATTAATGAGTTCTTACAATGTATGTAGGATTTTAAAATCACAAAAGCTCTAATAGAAACAGCATTTATTGAGAATATTCAAGGAAAAAAAGTTATGTGAAAGTTGATGAATGTGAACAAGGTTAAAAAATATCCTGTATACTCTTTTGAAGAAAGTCGTTTAGCAATGTGAGCAAGATGTCAAGAAAATCAGTGAGGTAATATATTTAAATATTTTATGTTTGAACTTTGAAAATTCGAGTTAAAAGTTCATTTAAAATTTATAAAATATTTCTGTCACAACATATGAAAAACACGTCTCTTTATGTGACTTTGCTGAATTTTACAGAATAATTTGTAGATACTGTATTTTGTTTGATCTCAGTATTGTGCAATAATATTTTCATTTACTTTTGTCAATATATATATTACTCTCCCACGGCGATAAAGAAAGTCCTCTTTCTCTTTCGCGCTGGCAACAAAGAATTGAAATATCAAGTGTGTGAGCTGTCTTAAGCATGAAAGCGTAACATACAAGTTTACAATTCACTGAATGAAAATTATTTTCTCGCATGGACAACAAAAAGCTTTAAAAACCTGAGCTGTAAATTGGGAAAAATTGAAAGGTTAAATAATAATTCATATCAACAAATGAAGTGTTCTATATTATGTTTTAATTATACTTATGCAGGTTTAAATTTTTATATTTCTATAACTTATTGATGAAAAAGTTTAATTTCTTGAGAGAGATTAGTTTTAAATATTTTTATGATTGATTTTAAACTCTTAAGATTTACCTCTAGAACACATTTCAAATGGGTATAACTCAGTAGAGCGAACCATATGGGATTGCACATCAATATTTGAGGTTTGGGGAAGCGTCAACGAACACTAGTATTTTATAAAATTATTGGCTTGATAGTGTTAAATTACTCCAAATATGCATTATTCTCATGTGTTTTCATTATACATAAGTATAGAATAATTTTAATATCTATATTTCTTTTCATCTAACACAAATGTTCCTAATTTTACGAATCCTTTAGTTTACTTTAATATACTTTATTATTATTTTATTTTAACAAATTTTGTTAAACGTTTTCGCAAAAATGTGTTTTCATATTGCATTTCTCAGTACGTATTATTATTATTTTTTATTTTCTTAAAAACGCAACAAGTATACAACCTAAGTAGTTTCCATTGATATTGATTGCATTAATAGCTTATAAAAAGCGCGGCCACAGTGTGGTAGCAGTTAAGGGAAACAAAAGGTTTTAACATATTTCTACCGACTAAAAATATTTGTAAATTAACTGTAAAATATTAAAACTGACCAACATATTTCTTCTTATCATTAAAGTGAAAATTACAACTTATGAAATTTACTACTATCTCACGAAATATTCATCTCTACTTTTTAAATTTTTCCTGACTGTTAGCCACCCTGGTGTAACTACTTAAGGGTTATTTTTGTTCAAAATAAAATATTAATTTCAACGAAAATTACGTCAGTATGTATGCAAGCTGTTTAATTTTAAAATAAATCAGTTATCTTAGTTAATAGGACGCTATACCACGGGAGTCATTTTTTATCGCAAGTTCTGTTTCACCTCCGTAAGTAATTTAAGATTCAAAGTATCGAAAAAGTGAGTTCAAGAAAACCTAGAGTAAGCCATGAGGTTTCAATTTCTCTAAAAAAAAATTGAAAACTTAAAAATGCAAACAAATTATTGGAAGAGAACTTCCTTAATGCATAATCCTAAGTTATCTTCTCTTAATTTTGATATTTTGAAAATTTCTTTTCAGTATTTGAAACCTGAATTCATTTTCTTTATTCTATAAATTTTAAATTACTTGTGGAGATGAAAGAGAATTTGCGATGAAAAGTTTCTCCCATGGTTATGGCCCTCTTAGTCTTCTAAGAGAGTCTTAGATAATCCACCGTTCGTTTATGTAGGTAAATAATAGAAAAAATTGTGTGAATCTATTTTAATTTTGAATACAAAACATGGGGGATAGTAATGAAGTATGAAACTTTTTCTTAATTATAAAATCCATCAAGTTTGTTGTGGTATTTCCCTTTAAAGTTATAATAATGATTAAAAAAAAAACTTCAGTAATATTTATTTAAGAAAAATCGATCTTCTTGGCATGTTGTCAAAATAATAAAAACGACTGTTTATCACAGAAATATTTAATGCTCTAACATGGTTCAAAAAATGTTACATTTGCCAGATTTATAGTGGAGTATATGTATGCACATAACATTTGAACAAACATGAAGTACATATGATTTTAGACAATTAGACTTAACAAGTCGGAATTGGACGAAGTGCTTTTTTAATATGGTCCAAATATACATATTTTACATCTTGATTTTTCGAGATTCACGGCCTTTCTTTATAATACGAACAACCACAAGTCTTGACACCATTAGTTACAGTCACATACAAAATGCACAATCGACTAGTATAAGATATTTAACTGCAATGCATAGCAAGTAGATGAAATTCATAAAATTGGACAACACCCATCATCTCTTATTATTAAAACTCAAATTCGTTTTATCACAACTTATTTTGATTAAACAAATTTTTTTTAACTAAATAAACTAATCTAATACGCACAGAAGACGTACTGATCCGCACGAGAAACGTAAATCAAAAGTTGCTTATGAGCCACTTCGTTAAGAAATTACAATCTTTGATTAGGTTTTAACAAGTCAAATGAAGTTGGAGTTAGGTGACTAACTTCACGTTGTTTTGCTTTGTTCAAGCCCAATGAGTTTTATTTCATTTTAAATTCGCTGTTTTGTTATTTTAAAATAAAACATGCAATATTAATGATATAAAAATGTTAACGTTTCTTAAATTTCAGCTATAATTTTAAAAAATGAAAAAAGAAACTCGCATTTTGGAATAAACAATATTAATAAAAGTTTACTTTCGAGAAAAATATTAAATATTTAACCAGCACATGCTATAACTTATAGCCTGTGCTATAAATATAGCCTATAAGTATAGACTGGAGAGTATTTATTAAGGGCTTTTTTTAAGTAAAAAAATAAATAAAATCGTGCTCTGTTGAGAAATTATTAACTTAGCAATTGGGTATTAATAATTCGATAAGAAGTGAAGTGATTATGCCTAAACTTGTGATTTAAATCAGATTTAATTGGATACCTGTGAGTCAATTGTTTTAAAATATCCAATTGTTTTAAAAAATAGTTTATCTACACGCAGTTTTTTTTTTTAAATCTGTTAACGCAAAATGTTTTTTACTTCTATAATTTGTTATTTATAGTTTAACTTATTTGTTGAAAAATTATTTAATAGTGCCTTTAAAAAGTAGCTTGAATTTATCTATACATATTTAACTAATTTCCATTTGATTTGTGAAATTTTTTGCTTATACATTTTTGGTTTATTTTTTGATTTCAAAAGGTTAATTAATAAGTAAGTGGAATCAGTGATTATAATTTTTTTTTCGTCATGATTATTGACTTGAAAAAAAAATCTCTAAATGTCCTTAAAAATTTAACGTATATTTTTTACTTCAAACCATTTCTTTGCAAACAAAATATATTCATAAAGATAATCTATAAGCAAACAAATCTATTTATAATTTCTAAAAGAATAATATTTTGACTTTCATGTTTAAATTTTTTTTATACATATAATTCGTTTAAAAGTATAGAATTAGCAAAAAGAATGAATGTTGTTTTGGACCCATATGAAGCTCATCATATTAGTGTTTAAAAACATTTGTTTTCTTTTAAATATATTTACTTAGGATTTCTAAACTAGTGCATAAACTGTCAAATCTATTACATTAAGTAATAAAAACTTTAATTTTCTCAAAGGTATGCCTTTTTTTTGTTGTTTAATTCTGCAAAATGTTAAAATTTGTAAAACCTTTTTGAACTTTGCAAAGTATGACAGTTCTGTTTAATTTTTGTTTGTTGCAAATTTGTTAATTAATAGCTTCATTAATTAAATATTCGAAAATTAATAAATGAATCTTGTTATTAAAAATTATAGCAAAGATTTTAAATATTTCAAGATGTTATTGTTTATTATAAGAAAATCTCAATTTCATAATTTTTAGAAAGATCTGAAATTAAGAGTTTGATAAATTACGTTATCTTCGTTAGAAATTCTGTGATATTGATTTTTTTTCCGATTAATACCTTAATATGAAAATTAGACAGTCTCAGTAAAAAAAAAAAAAACCCGACTATTTAACCTTACATAAATTATTTTTCTCTTACAAATTACATTTTTAAACCGCTAAAGTAAATTTCCAAAATCAAGTATTTAGAAACAATTTTATTTATCAAAATGTTTTGACTGCAGATTTGTATCATTAGAATATATTTATGAGTAGAAATTATTCTCATTTATATAAATAGCCAGATTGTGTGTGGGTACAAAATTATTTCAAATTAATTGTAACTTATCAATTTTCAGGATTATGTGAGGTCCAGCATTCAGTAATAGTATTAAGTTTTCAAATTTTAGTAATAATCGTTATCAATGTATGCAAGTACTTCATAGCACTTCATAAAACTATGTCTTATTTGTCAACTTCATTTTTTTTAGCCTTTGAAAACAATCTTAATAAAATTTAATCTTCTTTGTGTGATTGGGTTGAGAAGTTTACATTTGTATTTAACAATAACACAATTGAATAAAATTGTATTAAATAATTGCTAAAAAATATATAGAATTCACATAAATTTAATAACGAGACAAATTTTGAAATAACGTCAACATTTTAACAAGTCAGCAATTATAACAAAAATGTAAGGATAATTTAGTAGAGTTGAATAATTGTACAAGATGGCCATTTTAACACCTTCACTTCCAAACAGCGAGAATTAGTTATGGACAAAGCTGACTAGCTGGAGTAAAAAGCCTCGAAAAAAACATTAACGGCACCACGTAGCGACTGAATTTGGAGTTAGCATTTCTATTTTGTTTCCGAATCGGTTGCTTCGAAGTAACTTTCACTTTACTGTAAATAGTTATTTTAATGTGCTCGATATTATAAAATCAAGTGTTGATTAATTTTATGAAGAAATTTTCCAGCCATTATAATAATAAAAAGAAATAGGCTTGATTTAAGAAAATAAATTAATCAGATTCTATGCTAAGAAAGATAAATAAAAATAATTTTTTGCCAACTTTTATAAAATAGTTAATTTTTTAAGCGACACTGATTTCCTTCTAGAATCAAAGTTATTTCTTTATATCTTTTCCATGAGATCATTCCAAAATTGGTATTTAGGTTTTAGTGGGGATTCTGCTTAGAAGAACTGCAGAATTTAAAAAATTCCTTTCTGTGTTCTGTCACATGTATACGTATTTGGCCCCATATTTATACCATTTGAAAGGCTTTTTTTTTAAAGCAGTGAGAATAAGTTCAAAGACGCTACTTGAGCAGAAAGTCTCCCAGAGACTTGGCACATTTTAATTTCATCCAGTAATTTTCCTTCTTTCTTATCTGAAAAATAAAAATTAACTTTACTTCAAGACAGCATTCGAAATTGATATAGCTATTATAGTTTGAATTCGTATATTAATATGTATATTTATGCGAATACTATACTATATTATCTCCGGTTGCCAAATGGTGTTCCGCGAAACCCTAGGGTTCTGTAAAAGGGTGACATGAGTTCCGAAAGTTAGGATTTTTTTTTTAAAGCCAGTTATGATTTTCGAAACTTGTTGTGATTAAATTTATTTAACACGTTGACTTCCGCGTCACCCATATTCGGGTGATAGCAAAGTTTCTGATCGGGTCGCGTCACCCGTATTCGAGCGACAGCAAAGTTTCTGATCGGGTCGAGTCACCCGTATTCGAGCGACAGCAAAGTTTCTGATCGGGTCGCGTCACCCGTATTCGAGCGACAGCAAAGTTCCTGATCGGGTTGCGTCACCCATATTCGAGCGACAGCAGAGTTTCTGATCGGGTCGCGTCACCCGTATTCGAGCGACAGCAAAGTTTCTGATCGGGTCGCGTCACGAGTATTCGAGCGACAGAAAAGTATTCTAATCGGGCCGCGTCACCCGTATTCGAGCGACAGCAAAGTTTCTGATCGGGCAGCGTCACCCGTATTCGAGCGACAGCAAAGTTTTCTGATCGGGCCGCGTCACCCGTATTGGGGTGACACTTATTTGACTACTCGCGAAGGATATTCGTATGTATTTGAAAAGATATTTCACAGGAAGTAACAAAACTATTGAATTGTTATAAAAGTAATACAAAAATGATTTATTAAGAAAATTATTGTGAGCTTCGTAACAGCTTTCCTGTTCACCGCTATTTGACTCATTAAAAAATAAGTTTTCCATTTTTCTTTTCGAAATTGCAACGAATTCGGGTAAAGATTTTAAGTTATACTCCTCTTTACTCGGCGAAGATTCAAATTGATCGTGTAAAGTGGCGAGATGAGAAACAGATGCGAAGCAACGGACACAAATAAACAGACATGATACCATTGAAACAAATGGATCAAGATATTATTCTTGTGACCACCAGCGACTAGCAGTATTAAAATATCGGTGGGAGTACTTAGCAGAATACGCTTCGGACAGCGGTACTCGTGGCCTGAAGGAGATTTCACAGTAAACGCGTGCGGCAGTCAACGTGTTAATCCAGTTAATTCATAATAATCCAGTTACTATTTTCGTTGTTTTTATGAAAGTATTTGATTAAACTGCTTGTAAAGAAATATATTAAAAAAAACAATGTTTTTCATATAACAATATAATGCATGAATTAGGAAAAGGATATGCATTTATGAACAATTCCGTTAGTATTCCGCATCAAACAAAAATAACCGAATTAAACAATGAAGAAGTATGTTTCTCTGGTAACCATTCTCGACCTTTATTTTCTTCTTTTTCAGTTTTTGTTTTTAATGGAAACCGTATTTCAGCTCATAAATTTTCAGTTTATGCATGCAATGAAATCAAATTAAGAATTTGACTAGACGCCGTTCCAGATCTGCGAATTCAACTGTCTGACGTAAAATCCAATTATAAGACTAATATTAATAAAACAGTATGGTGATAGAATTTCATTCATCATTCGCTAAACGCTTTCAAATTAATAAAATTTATATCGTGACACATTTTCGAAATAATTAAAAGTCTTTCGTTAATTTATATGTTTACAATTGCTAAAGAAATTTATTCATTTAAAAAAAATCGGGAATTGCTGTATTATCTTATAGCTAGGATTTAAGAGAAATTTTTTTTATTTGAAAGTCTTAAGAACAAAATTTTCCAAAATCTAATTTCCAACACTTTCTGTAAGTGAAGTATCGATAACTGTATAGTATACAGTTTCGCCAGTATTCAGTGTATACCAGCTATATATCTATTATACTGTAATCACCTATGATTGGACACACATTACAAAGCATGTTTGAGGAATTTATTTTTTAATCCGCGACATCCGTTAGATAGACATTGTGACCCAAATATTTATTTTGAATATTATGATGTTTTTAAATTTATTTAAACATTGCTTAAGTACTGGTGGTATATTTTATATAAAGCTGTCATCACGGGTTGAGAAATTCTTAGACAATGTCCCGTTCATAGAAGTTCAAACTTTAAGAATTTGAAATGGCACCCTTTAAAATGTGATAGTCTTTGGGAATAATTAACATTTTTGGAGTAAGAATATCAACAAGTATTGAGTTCAATATTTGAGTGAAAGAAAAGAAATAGGCCTAAATATAAACTTCATATTTTGTTCTTGATGTACCACATCACATTAACGACTATTTTGCAAGAAATAGGTTTTGAAAAATCTAACAAAAATAAGGGAATATTTCCGAAAACAAATAAATACAAGTTAAAAATTTCAACGTATTTATTGTTTTCAAAGTGTACTTACATTAAAAAACTAAAATTCAAACCCTAGTTGGAGGATAAAAAAAATACTTAATAAAGGCCTAATGAGTTAAAAAATTGAGATCCTACTTAGAAAAAGCTCCATAAGTTTAGTTGAAAATTAGTTCTATTTTTATCAAAGGAACTTTCCTTTTGATAAAATAAATTAAAGTCGATTAAAAATGTATATTTAGAATTGAAATTTTAATTCGATCGAATAGAATCGAAATTTTAATTCGATCGAATAGAATCTGAATTTTAATTCGAATTAAAAATTTATATTTGGAATGTTTAAACATATTTCATCTTTAAAGAAGATGATGTAAAAATCCCTGTGATATCATTAGGTATTTTACAATTAGATGCCTTAGCTCCTGCAATTTTAAGTGAACCCCGCCCCTAACTTTATGAAACATCGCTTCGCTGTTGTTCTTCCGAAGAAGCAAAAGGAATATTTGTGGTATTTTAAAAGTACTAAGTTACTTGACAATTGATTGAACGAGTTAACTGGTGTTGATGCACAGTGTCGATGTAGTACTGTCAGATGTATAGAGATAAGTTATATGATCATTCCAGATTATCCAATAAGGAGAGAGATGTGACGTATTAGTTTTCCCCCCTAAAGTGATCACCTAGTCTTTGAATCTTACAGGCGTTATCGCAAAAGTTTAAACAAAATTCACTGAACCCAACCAGATATTTTTAACAACTTATGGATGGTGTTTTCTACACTACTGCAAGCTCTATACCACCTATATTTCCGGGTTACTGTTTTCAGTGTATTTTAAAGCTATTTGGCTCGCAACGTGATCATTGTGTTTTAAGATTCTTGCAAATGTGGTATTTGATTACTTATTACTTGTATTTACAATGCTGAAAGTATTAACACTAACGTAAGATGGTGCACAGCTAGCAACAAGAATAAACAGAAATAAACAAATGGAAAGAGGCCAAATCAGGACTGCCAAAAAAGTGAGTTATTCAAAACCTAGCAGCCCTGTGACCTTTTTTAACTACGAGGGCTGTAAATTAAATAGTGGCAACTTAACCTTGAAACTCACAGAAGGGCGGGCATGCGCAAATAGGATATGGGCGCGGTGAGGTGGTGCTGCTGTCGATGTGCAGAGTGCAAAAAACAGTCGATCTGCTTAGAAGGGTAGTTGTTGTGTGGCGTTAAAGTGAGGAGTTTTGTTTCCATCGCTCTAAAGCATGTTTTCAAAAGGTGATCAGCGGTCGTGGCTTAAAATCAAGGTTGCCCGTGCCCGTGGCAAAAATGCAACAGAATGCTATCGAGGATTAGTGGAAGCCTATGGCACAAATGCTTTACCGTATAGGACAGTAGTGCGATGGGTTCAAGCATCTCGTCTTTTTTCGTCATTAAGTCTTTTGAAAACATACTTTAGAGCAATGGAAACGAAACTCCTCACTTTAACGCCTCACAANAGATGTGACGCATTAGTTTCCCCCCCTAAAGTGATCACCTAGTCTTTGAATCTTACAGGCGTTATCGCAAAAGTTTAAACAAAATTCACTGGACCCAACCAAATATTTTTAACAACTTATGGATGGTGTTTTCTACACTAGGGAACGCTGCAAGTTCCATACCACCTATATTTCCGGGTTACTGTTTTCGGTGTATTTTAAAGCCATTTGGTTCATAACGTGATCATTGTGTTTTGAGACTCTGGCAAACGTAGTATTTGATTATTTATTACTTGTATTTAAAATGCTAACAATACTTGTGTTTACAATTCTAAAGGTGCTAACGCTAACGTAAGATGGTGCACAGCTTGCAACAAGAATAAACAGAAATAAACAAATGGAAAGAGGCCAAATCAGGACTGCCAAAAAAGCGAGTTATTTAAAACCTAGCAGCCCTGTAACCTTTTTTAACAATATATCTATAAATAACTAAAATAAATTTCCACTTGAAACTCACTAGAATTACTTAATAACATTAATATTTTAGGAAATACGGCAGATTTGAGCTCAGAAATTATCTAATCCGTTTAAAAATATCGCCTTGCAGAATAAGCTGTAGTAAGCAATTGCAAACTTTTTAACCGGAACTAGAGCAGGTATTGAGTTCGAGATTGTTATTGTTTACATTTATGTTGAAAACACCATCCATATGAGAGTATTTCATAGGTACTTACTTGATTTTTTAATCTCTGAGGAGCAGTGATAAAGGTACCTTTCTATGCCCATCTTTGAAAGTTAGTAATAACATTAAAAATATCAGAAGAAATACTCCAGAAGAGCTTTTTAAAAATAATTTCAAAATGAATGCAACTCGTTTAAAAATATTTTCCATCCATTTCTTCCAAAAATATCGACGTCTTGAGTTAACGATGTTTAAATTGCACAGAGGAATTGGGAAGCGTTGGATGCTGTTTTAAGTTCGTTCTCAGCGAAAAGCACTTGGATTAAGAACACATTGGACTGATGCTTAAAAAGTTTTACAAAATAGCTTTGAAGAATACTGATGAACAACAAAGAATATTCTTTCCAATACTCAGCAGAGTTAGTCTTGGACAATATTAATTCACTTGAATTTTCGCCATTTGTCGGAAATCATCTCCGAAGATTTTATTCCTTTAATAGATCGCTGATTGTTTGTTCCAATTCTGGAGATAAAATTAATTCTGCATAGAGGAGTGTAAAAGTTCAAAGTTGTTCCATTGTTTGTTAACGAAACGCTTTTATCCTCCAATTCAATAAATTCTTTTACCTAAAATATAAAACAAAAATGAAATGGTATATGTAATCTATATGTTTTTCCTATGTGGCATCATAAACCCGGGTATTTATTTATCTATTGGCAAAACTATACTTATTATTAATTTCGTTAGGATGCCTTTTGTTTTGTGTTTGTTTTGTAAGTAGTGTTGAACAGTATAGTTAGTTAGCACGTTAATTTTTATTTAGAATGATTTTATATTTTTATAGAAATAAAAGCTTAGAAAGCTGCCATATCAAGAAATTGGTGAAGGAACTTGTTTTTTGTTGTTGTTTTTTTGAGCAATAGGATATATTTTATACGATACGCAAGTTAAGAGGTGCGTGAGGAAGTTGTACAGCATCTAATGGAGCATTGGGATGCTATCTTATCTCACGAAAGAGATGTAAATAATTTTAATACTTCTGCTGCCTACTATGTTGAGAGGTACGCGAGGAAGTACTCAAGTTGAGAGGTGCGTGAGGAAGTAGTACGGCATCTAATGGAGCATTGGGATGCTATCCTATCTCATGAAAGAGATGTAAATAATTTTAATACTTCTGCTGCCTACTATGTTGAGAGGTACGCGAGGAAGTACTCAAGTAGAGAGGTGCGTGAGGAAGTAGTACGGCATCTAATAGAGCATTGGGATGCTATCCTATCTCATGAAAGAGATGTAAATAATTTTAATACTTCTGCTGTCTGCTATGTTGAGAGGTGCGTGAGGAAGTAGTGCATCATCTAATGGAGCATTGGGGTGCTATCTTAACTCACGAAAGAGATGTAAATAATTTTAAAACTTCTACTGCCTACTATGCTGAAATGTCTCTTATTCATACTTACGTTAGTTTGTGTGATTTAATGGCTGTCGGACAGATTTTAAATTATTACTAAAATTCAATAAATAAAGAACTTTGACATTATAGCGGAAATTTCTGAAAATAGTTAAAATTGAAATCACAGCACCTCAACAGCTCGTTCAACAGCTAGATGGTGAAAACATTTATTGTTTAAAACTAATAAAGATTTTAGGATTGAAGGAGGGGTTGAAAAATAAGAATATTTAAGCGCAATTGTGCAAATTATTGTAAATAATTTAAATAATATCAAATATTAAATCATGATATTCGTTGTCTTCGAGAAAATTCTTCGGCAGAAAGATTATAAGTTGGCATATCGCAATCTTTACACTAATTATTTTTTTCCTAATTTTTTGTAGCAGTGAGATGAAATGCTCTTATGTATTACGAATATTATTATTTTTTTACTATTTTACTGATTATTTTACTGATCATTTTACTGATTATTTATTTGACTGACACTGATTATTTTACTGATCATTTGTTACTGATTATATCAAACATTGAAATATCAACTTAAAAAAAGTTGTAAAAATGGAAGAATTTATTGAAAATCGAATTTTCATTGTCACTTTTAGGCGTATGACATTTGATATCATTCGGTATATTAGGAGTTGGATTAACTATATAGACACCTTTCTTTAGCAATTTGTTTGTTGACAGAATTTATGAATGTTTATATTGAGCACATATTTAATAATAAACAGCCAGTAATAGATATAAATTTGAATACATACAAAATTTAAAATATTTTAATGTCGGCATTTAATGAAAAGTAGAAATTAATATTCATTTATAATATTACCATTAAAAAATTATAAATAAATTAAAAAAAAATAAAAATATATGAATTGATATAGAAATATTCTAATCATTCATGCAATTTATTCATTACTAAAAGTACATATATTAAATGAGAAGCTTGTGATATAAGTGAAAAAACTCAGTTACTATAGAGATTTAACAAAGAAATAAACTGTAAAATAAAAACGCATAAATTCATAAAATAAATATGTGCAAAAAGTGCAGACAAATATTAATTATAAACAATAGCACACCAGAGTAAGAAAATAATGATGCTGCATGCACAAAGTAAACAAACGTCGAAGCATTCACTAGATTTAAATTTACGAACCTCTTTAAGAAAAAAATGTATAAAAACACAATGTATTCTTTTCAGTGAAGTTCAGCTCCCACCTAGAAAATTTGAGTCATATTGAGTTTAAAGAAAGGAGTCTGAGATTATATGTGCAGCTATGCAAGGTGTAGCTCAATCACCGAACTTAAAATATGTTTTAAACGTCTTCGTTAAAAATGAGGATATTAGAATCTACATATTACCTTAGGAAGAATAAGATTATTTTTTAAATTATCGAAATCTGACGAATCATTAACAAGATCTGCCCCCACAAAGATGGAATATCGAAAAGAAATTTAACTAATAAGACAGTTCATTTTATTTGTCACATGAAACTGAATAACTTTAAAGAACTACTTCCAGCCTCATATGATAGGAAAAACTGGTTTTTGATGATTTGAATCTCACTTTTCTTTTGATTGATCTAGATTACGATTCGTTGAATTTTGATTATGTATTATTTTTTTTTATTCCTTAAATAATTATTTGTAGTACATAATTTGTTAATAACTTTATTTTTGACAATAATCTAAGGTACATATAAAAGTTGGTGAAAGCTAAACACCCTGTTATATATATATTAAAAGATACTGTGATGATGTAAAAAGCAAGGCAAAAAAAGAAGCCAAAAATGACTTAAATTAATAAATTAAATCGATTATTAAATTAAATCGATTATTAAATTTCAGTCTTCAAAACTTCTAAATTCATAAAAAGTTGCGTTTTGCAGAAAAACTATAATTTATGAAGAAATACATTTGTAGCAAGGGAAATATTAGTAATTAATTGATATTTTAGGAAGAATACATACATAGAAAAGAAATTATTAGTGATTGGCAGAGATATATGAGGAAAACTTTTATAGCAACTAAATCATTACTAACTATTTAGAAAACATTTATTACACTTTGTACCTAAATTATTAGTGAGAAGCAAATTTTAGATCATAGCAGGCTAAGAAATTTTTTTTATGGCAACCAAATTATTAGAGAGCGATGAAAAATTATTTAGAAAACATTTACTACGATCAAATTATTAGCAAATGAGAAACAATTATTTAGAAAACATTTATGGAAATCAAATCAATAGTGAGCCACATTTATTTGGGTAACATGTAACCAGTTACCCAAATTAGTAACTGAGTTAAATTAGTAACTGGGAAACAATTATTTAAAAGGACATGGCAATCAAGTCTTAGTGCTTGAGAAAAATTCATTTAAAAATATTTACAGCTAATAACCTTTTTTTTACTTCGATATTTTTAGAGAGGAAAAAACAACAAATGCAGAGTTAAAAATAAGTGAAATCAAGTAAGAAAAAAATTGTGGTAATTGGATACCATTTTGTGTATAAATTGATTTTTTGATTCACTAATAAATTTCTTCTTATTCCATTTTTTCTTTTTATACACTTGCTCCATGAAGAATCATTTGTACTAATGATTGCATTAGCGACAAGCTTTAAATAATATTAAAAAATAAAATGATGATCGCCAATGTTAATGCTCTTGTTGTCCAAACTAACACAAATAAATAACTAATAAGCTTCATTTTAAACTCTTACGGTAGACATAAAAATAAATTTAAGGTTAACGAATTTAAGCAGGCATCTAATTTTTTTTCAATATTTCGTTTAAAAAAATAATCATAATTTATGTATAAAGGGTTTCCATTCTGCTAGAGCAAATAAAAAGCCACGCTATTTTTTCCTTCAAAGCACAGAAAATGACAATATTCTCCCCCTTACAGTCTCAACGCCCCATTGCGGCAAAAAGTTTAACTGATAGTAAAACGATGAGTTAATCGTTTTCTTTTATTACTTTTAATGGGATACCTGCAAGTGACGTAGTGTGGGTATCTCGATCCTGATTGGTTGTGGAAACGTGGCATTTTTTTATGTTAACTGTTCTTTCCATTCTATTTTGAGTAAGCCCGTCAAGTATCAATTCTCTTAAGTGATTCATTCTAAATTCTTTCACAAAGATTATTTCTCAAAGATTTCAATTCTTTCAATATATATTTACACAGAGACTTAACACAAAGACAAGCACGGAGTCATGTGGGACATAAACAAATTATGCATCGAACTTACCAGATGCACAGAACAAAAATATATATCACGGTTACAACAAAATACATAAACAAATAATAAATCTGAGTTAAGTAAAAGAAGTAGACGAGAAGGAATATATTTCAACTAATTCGATGTGCGATACGTCTCTGTATTTAATTAACTTAACGTTAATTAACATTCTAACTTATGCAAAGAAACGCAGCTCAACCAAAGAATATTTGGCTCAACTTCAATACGCCATTTTGCTGATGAAGATTATCTGGCGCTGACGTCATAGGTCACATGTGTGGGTATGGGAGGTCTTTTTCTTGAATTGCAAATACTCAATTGAATTTATGAGGTTCGATGTAAAGCTCTTGATTTTGTTTGGTTCTATAAAAGTTTCTATAAAGCTTTTTTTAAAATGTTGAATATTGAAAAAAATAAAGTGCATTTCTTGGCATCTAAAATAAATTGTGATTTAGTTTAAATATTTTAATTTATCTCTATTTTTCGCATTTTTTTTTCAAAATTTATTTCCACATTGAATAAAATAAATATTTATATGATAGATATGCACCATAAGTTCATATTAACTAATAGAAGTATAAATATGGATGAACAATATTGCTTCGAATTACCGCAAACATAATTTTTCATAAATTATTAATGCAGATTGTTTTCTTTTCTCAGTTTATAGTAGAATTTATCGAATAACAGAATGAAAGTAACGGGACCAGATAAAAAATATGACAGAAACACGAATTCCGGATAATAAAACTGAATTGTTTGAAATAGTTTTGAAATTTCTATGAATGTTCTTATGAAATAAATGGTTAAAACTCCAACATAAATTTACGCCGTCCAATCTCGAAGTTTTTATTGAAACAGAACCTGAAAAACTTAAATTAGAAACAATGAATCATAGAGAAGTATTACTTGTACAAATACATTCGTAATTT